TAAAGACTTAGCAGACCCTTTTATTTAGGGTAGATATGGTACAGCGCCAGTGACTTAGCAGACCTTTTATTTAGGGTTGATATGGAGCAGCGCCAGTGACTTAGCAGACCTTTTATTTAGGGTTGATATGGAGCAGCGCAAGTGACTTAGCAGACCTTTTATTTAGGGAAGATATGGTACAGCGCCAGTGACTTAGCAGACCCTTTTATTAAGGGTAGATATGGTACAGCGCCAGTGACTTAGCAGACCCTTTTATTAAGGGTAGATATGGTACAGCGCCAGTGACTTAGCAGACCTTTTATTTAGGGTAGATATGGTACAGCGCCAGTGACTTAGCAGACCCTTTTATTTAGGGTAGATATGGTACAGCGCCAGTGACTTAGCAGACCCTTTTATTTAGGGTAGATATGGTACAGCGCTAGTGACTTAGCAGACCCTTTTATTTAGGGTAGATATGGAGCAGCGCCAGTGACTTAGCAGACCTTTTATTTAGGGTAGATATGGTACAGCGCCAGTGACTTAGCAGAGCCTTTTATTAGGGTAGATATGGTACAGCGCCAGTGACTTAGCAGGCCCTTTTATTTAAGGTAGATATGGAGCAGCGCCAGTGACTTAGCAGACCTTTTATTTAGGGTAGATATAGTACAGCGCCAGTGACTTAGCAGAACCTTTTATTTAGGGTAGATATGGTACAGCGCCAGTGACTTAGCAGACCTTTTTATTTAGGGTAGATATGGAGCAGCGCCAGTGACTTAGCAGACACTTTTATTTAGGGTAGATATGGTACAGCGCCAGTTTGATTATTCTCTTGGTGTTAACTGTACTTTGTATTATTGGTCCAATCCAACTTGATTGTTACCGTCTCAATTAGTTTTATAGATGTAGTGAGTGTTTTATTTATCTATTTTCTAACAAGGATGTCTCAGAGGTCTTCAATTACTTGTAAAGAACTGATGTTATAACGCCCCTTTCCATTTTTCCATTTCTGTTGCCAATATCATATTTAATTGTCCCCTTTTCCTTTTTTAACACTAGCTTTATACATGTCTCCTTCGGTATAAAGCAGAACCCCCTTTATAATGCCAGGATCATGCTGGACACCCCTTTATAATGCCAGGATCATGCTGGACACCCCTTCATAATGCCAGGATCATGCTGGACACCCCTTTATAATGCCAGGATCCTGCTGGACAGGTGATGGCAGTATAATAAGGTTTTACTGTATTTGTTTTGGGCGTTGTGTAGCCAATGGATGTGTGAGCAATAAGAAATAAATTGGATTGTGCCATTAAACAGGCTTTTGTGCATGGTTTAAGTGAAAGATAAAAGCATTATGTATATTACCTGTTTTTTAAGTTATCAGATAAACAGTTATATATTACTTAATTATTCCAGAATTGCCAAAGAAAGTATATATAGTCAAACTTGTTTTTATTAGTTTTTTGTAAATAAAAATAAAATCAACTTTACTTCAGTGTCTTGTTTCATTTTCTCACTTTTACCAGTCAGCTTCTGCAATTTCCAAGCACCCGTTGTCTATCTGTCGTCATGTCCAAGCACCCGTCGTCTATCTATCGTCATGTCCAAGCACCCGTCGTCTATCTGTCGTCATGTCAAGCACCCGTCGTCTATATGTCGTCATGTCCAAGCACCCGTCGTCTATCTATCGTCATGTCCAAGCACCCGTCGTCTATCTATCGTCATGTCCAAGCACCCGCCGTCTATCTGTCGTCATGTCCAAGCACCCGTCGTCTATCTATCGTCATGTCCAAGCACCCGTCGTCTATCTGTCGTCATGTCCAAGCACCCGTCGTAAATATAGGAACAAAATAAAAAACAAAATAGAGTAGGATATAAAAAACGGACAGCCTGGATACGATACGCCCTCCTCCTAGACCAATGCCATGATATGATACGACCGGTGATCTCCCCATCCCTTTTTTATATAAGACAAATTCCAATAAAACACATATAGTATAAGCACAACAACTTAAAGACCTCCATAAGACCAAATACTAATAACCTTTTTTTTTTTTTTTTTTTTTTTTTTTNCACTGACTTCCGTCAGTGAGATGAAACCCGTAAGGGCGGATTCATGTAGGCGCGAAACCCGTCATCCATCCATCCATCCAGCACCCGTCGTCTATCTATCGTCATGCCCAAGCACCCGTCGTCTATCTATCGTCATGTCAAAACACCCGTCGTCTATCTATCGTCCCTTTTCCATTCATTAAAGCTTTGAAGCCGTCTTTGTTCTTGCTACCTTTTTGCACCAAACTAGTGTGGTTAGATATATGGTATATACTACTGTCGTGTACCTTACATGGCTCATAGTATATCAGGTGAACAATTACCTAAACCATTTCATCGATAACGTTTCATCAAGTTCAACGGCAACAACAAAAAACTTCAATAAATATATCCAAGGCAATTAGAGGGCATGAGAAGTAAAACACAAAACGAAAAGAAAATTCATGCTTTTTATGCCCTCATGTAGTAGTCGTCATGACGTCTTCCATTAAATCTAAAAATGCATACACGTCATCAACAGTCCTAATAAAGTCATTGTATATGGTCATGGCCAGAACAGGAAATCGGGTTATGGCGACGATTGGTAAAATAAGAAGAATGTTATAGTTCTATGAAAGATGTTCTGTATTTGTGAATTAATCTTGGGAGACTGGTATGTTGCTACTCGGGAAAGGAAAGTAATAGTTGCTGAAGTAAAGTCGTCAGTTTTGTCGTAGAGGTTGATATTTAAGCGATTGCTATTTCCAAAATATGGTAAATGTCAAGAAAGTCAGTTTATATTAAGTGAAAAAAAAGAACTTTAAAAAAAACAAACTTTATTTAATCACTCTTATTTGCCCGGATCATGCGGCGGATGGTAGCGCGCATGGGGTGTTACTGTAAGAGAACCCGAGTACTCGGAGAAAAGCTGCATTAAAAATAAGACTGTTTTTTCGTTGCAAATTCTGGAGAGATTTTCCTCGACATTATCGTTTAATACAAGGAAATACTAATGATAGATTTATCTATGTGAGAAATTAAAAGTAGGGAAAATAACCAATTGTTGAGAGTCGTTTTCTACTAGTTTTATCATAATATTGTCAATATTGTATGCATATATTGAGAAATATATGCTGTATTTTCGTCATCCCCAACGTTGACCTCAGGCTGTTCTGACATCACACTAGATGATTATTCACTCAGTAAGAGGGCAGTCGTAGGATAAATAGGCAATACCACACAAGCGTGTTCACCTGGCGTCTCTGATTACACAAGTGTGCTGCGCGTAATGATGTAATTCACGGGGGCATATCCCGAATGAAACATCCAATTGCACATAAACAATTATGTGTTGTATCATTTTAACATACCTTAAGTATTTTTATATGCCTGTTATAATTTATGCAAAAATATAAGTCATCATTTTAATGTATTTATATCAATTTTTACCCCGAAACTTTGAATCGGAAAACAATAGCGGAAAAAAGAACGTCAAGTACGGAATAATGACGTCAGATTAGAATGAATCACAAATGTTCGGTTCTTATTTCAGTTTCAATTCCAGCCAAAAAGAAATTCTGGCTGCTGGTGTAATAGATAGCTTGTAGAAATACAGAGTGGGCCTTGAATTGCATGGCCCAGAATCTGGCGGTAGCACAATAGTAACCTTTACCAGGTAAGTAATAAAACAATAAACACTGCAGAATGGTCAAACAAATATCTTTAATATCATGCAATTCTGATTAAATAGATCAATGTAGATACAATAACAAATAATATAGATATATTTTACACAATCAGTTTGATTTTGTTCTCCGCTTTGCTGATTGCCGAGTTAACGTCCGACTGTACAAGTTACTTCCCTTTCGAACGGATACTTTTAATTGTCTTTAACATGTTTTGTCACATAAAAGCTTTTCACAAAACTAACAGACATACATTTAAACATGAACTTATTCTTACACTAAAATTTAAAAAAAATGACTTTAATTATCTGTACGATCAAGATCTTTTATGAAATAATTCAACGATGTAAAATTCTCAAAACACTCACACAAACTCCACATGGATAACATTTCTAGTTGCAACATACTACTGTTGGATAGGTTAATCTTGTCCTCAGCAATAGTAGATTACACCAAGGTAGTCTCTGTGTCCTCAGCAATAGTAGAACTCACCATGTTAGTCTCTGTGTCCTCAGCAATAGTAGATTACACCAAGGTAGTCTCTGTGTCCTCAGCAATAGTAGATTACCCCAAGGTAGTCTCTGTGTCCTCAGGAATAGTAGAACTCACCAAGGTTTTCTCTGTGTCCTCAGCAATAATAGAACTCACCAAGGTAGTCTCTGAGTCCTCAGCAATAGTAGAAGTCACCAAGGTAGTCTCTGTGCCCTCAGTAATAGTAGAACTCACCAAGGTATTCTCTGTGTCCCCGACAAAAGGAGAACTCACAAAGGTAGTCTCTGTGTCCTCAGCAATAGTAGAACTCACCAAGGTAGTCTCTGTGTCCCCGACAAAAGTAGAACTCACAAAGGTAGTCTCTATGTCTTCAGCAATAGTAGAACTCACCAAGGTTGGCTCTGTGTCCTCAGCAATAGTAGAACTCACCAAGGTTGTCTCTGTGTCCTCAGCAATAGTATAACTCACCAAGGTAGTCTCTGTGTCCTCAGCAATAGTAGAAGTCACCAAGGTAGTCTCTGTGTCCTCAGCAATAGTAGAAGTCACCAAGGTAGTCTCTGTGTCCTCAGCAATAGCAGAAAACACCAAGGTAGTATCTGTGTCCTCAGCAATAGTAGAACTCACCAAGGTAGTCTCTGTGTCCTCAGCAATAGTAGAACTCACCAAGGTTTTCTCTGTGTCCTCAGCAATAGTAGAACACACCAAGGTAGTCTCTGTGTCCTCAGCAATAGTAGAACTCACCAAGGTAGTCTCTGTGTCCTCGACAATAGTAGAACTCACCAAGGTAGTCTCTGAAAATGTTCTACGACCAAGAGATGGCGTTTGATAACATGAACAACCTTGCTATGTATTTTCTTGTACTTTACACGATATGTTAAGGTATTATAAGGTTATATACGGTACGCATGGCTATTTTCTAGATTTTCTCGTGAATGTGAATTTTATAACCCAAGTTATAGTCAAGTAGGATAACATAACATAAACTATATTAGTCGAAAAGTCGATGTTGGTTAAGTAATATACATGGTTTTGAATTAACACTCGGGTAACCATACGATTACTTACCATAATATTATGATGTAACAGCATCATGGCAACTTATAATCAAGTAACGTGTTTTATTTCTATCCAATGCATTCAAATTTAGTTAGGTAACGTTTTATACCTAATGAAAAAAACACGCTTAATTAACTTTTCTACAAAAAACCATTTCACTAGGCAATGACATATTTATCTATAAAATAAATTGCCATTGATAATGTTTAATACAAATAACCATAAAGTATATTACCACTGATAATGTTTAATACAAATAACCATAAAGTATATTACCACTGATAATGTTTAATACAAATAACCATAAAGTATATTACCATAAAGAGAATAATAATAATACATATTAAATACACTGTTATACTTGTACACATATATAATCTTATACAAAAACACACATACAGGACAATGTAAACATTCGATTTTGATTGTACTCTAACGTATCATATATTTAATTCGATTAATAATATTTCAAAGATTAAAAATCCGTAGAAATTTGCAAAATAACAACTACCGTGGGCTGACCAAATGTAAATGTAATTTAAACCGTTTGACGGGTAGGAGTTAGGGTGAACTTATTTTCTCTGTTATGCGGCGCCAATAGGTCGCGTGATGGTCTGAGATTTGCACGTGCAAATCCCTACCGCGTGATACCTGCACGTGTACGTATCATGCAGGCGACACAGTTAGAGGCAGGCTTACGCGAAATTTATTTTTTACTTAAAAATAATAAATAGGTTTTTTTTGGCGAAAGTGGAATTCAAATAATTACAATTAATTTTATATTTGATATCTAGATATGGCAAATCAATCATATGGGGAGTAATCTGGAATTGTATACACAATGGATAAATTTTATGGTAAATCTATGATTAAATGCAATATTTGTCTGCTGGTGCAAACATGCTTTATGTCCACAAAACGTATTGTTGTGTTTGAAAATGATTTGTTAGTTTGATTCATCAGTCGCAGTGCCTCTCTCGCAGTGAAATACATTTCTGTATTTTGTGTTGTTTATCCTATTGAATAATTGAGTAGAGAACACTTCATCAGATCACTTGTAGATGTATGATGAAATTGATTCTGACGTCACTGTCTTGTCCAGGGTTGTAAGATCTGACTGTTTCATATACTATTCTCCACTAAAGTTGATGAACGATGAAGGTCGGTCCTTCCTGCCACGCTCGCTCTCATAATACGTGTATTCCTGGGCTGGAAGTTCGCTGCGGTTCAACATATAACTGTTGTCATATTGGCGCCTGCGTAGAAAGATTTTAAATTAATTAGTTTGTAGCTTGAACAGTCTTGAATCATTACTTGTATGAGATATGCTCCCGACACAATGGTAACTTACGTTACATTTGAAATTGATGGCATTAATCAATCTACGGACACAAGTTTATGGCTGAAATGACCATTAAAACAAAACAAGCACTCACCTGAATGAATCGTTCATTGGGACAAGCGCCATGGAGGGATCCCTGAATGATATAACATGTAACATATCATTTGAATATTTCCTTGATACTGTTATATATTCATACTTTTCCTTAATGGTTACCAGTGTTACCAGTTGAAATTTGCTTACATTAGTGAAATTTAAATATCTAGTTAGGTTTGCATTTTTTTTCTTGGAAAGTATAGAGCCCATACTTGAACACAGTAATACAAAAAGAGAATGTATAGTCACTAGCATCTATAAGAGAAACAGGAAGTGTGATAAAGAATATGCCCGTAATAAGATAGATGGAGAACACATATAGGATCATAACAGTATCGGGGAAAATATTGAAAATGAATTTAAAAAAAGAACTGCTAAAGAATTTGAATTGAAATGGGTACCTAAAATGCCAATACCATAAGCAGGCTTTTATATTTGTTAATTTTATCAGATTGCTTGTCCATATGAGGCAGTAAAGTATGTTCTTTGTTTTGATTTCTGCATTGTCAAAATAAACTTACATATGTATGCCTCGTTCCTCGTATTTCTAGTAATTATTGGTTATCATTTTGCGTTGGTGAAGAGAGAAGGTTCAATCATCTATGACCATAAACATTGTCAAAGAAAAATACATAGAAGCCAGTATACGATACCTCATGACGACAGGAGGGGCCATCATAGCCATCGGAGCTTGTAAAGGCTTCTTCGTGTAAACTCTCTCAACCTTTCGAGTTGGAGCTGTGAACAAAAATGTGCAATTAACACGTACGTTTGAAAAGTTTACATTTTCTAAATAATGTATTGTATAACGACAGTTGAATTAAAGTACAAAATACAACATTAAACCTTCAATTGGTTCGGTATGCTGTATTCTCGTTTTGGAGAATGGTTGTGAATTAAAAAAAAAAACTCCCTCTTGAAAATATAGCTTGTCAGTGATTTAAAAGAAAGGTTATCAAGACCCATTATGTGTATACGTATACTCAGAAGTATTACCACCGGCGGCATAATCTAGTTAACTACTAATTATGGTACAGTCTAAAATTATTAAACAAGACAAAGTTTTGTACTAATATGAACAAGGACCCTATCTCTGCTAAAGTGGGGAACGCCAGTCTACTGAGTTCCAAGCGGTACTCCGAAACAAAAATTGGCAATTGTATAAGAAAGAGTTGACGAGATTGAGAACGGAAAAGTGACGAACTAGGAAACAACGGACAATGGCTCTGTTAATAGTGGGGAACGGGGCATGATTTAAGTACTTAGCACTACACCAGATGAAGAGGTACTCACATGCAAAATTTGCAATTAAATGGTGATATTTTTCAAATCTAAAATCATATACATTTTCAAGTTTGATCATAGAACATGTGCATACAAAGTTTGTTCATGTTACTGACACTGTATTATTTCGTTTTTGTGGAATACTAAGAGGAGTAGTAACAGTAACAATGGCATTTTACTTCAGAATAATGAATGGGACTATTTGTAAATGAAGAATACTAAACACAAAATCGAACCGGAAAACTCCAGATAAGTGCAATTGAGACCAACATGTACCTGACGGTGCAATCTACTAGAGTGGGCAATATGTAGACTTTATTTCCAAAACATTATATTTTGAGGTGTGCGGGCAATATAACAGAACGGACTATACAAAAGAAATAATGGTTGTGATAAATTTTGTTATGGAGACGGCGAACTTGGGTCGTTGGAATAAACAGCGTTGGTATATAGTTCGGTCAGGTGTTTAGATAATTCATTGATAGTTCATTGATAATTCATTGATAGTTCAAATTCATTGATAGTTCATTGATAGTTCATTGATAGTTTGAAAATAAGGATTCCATTAGAACATGCAAGTAATGAACACTGTCTTGCAGACAAAATTTGCTATGAACTCTTTGAGAAGTAATACTGGTTTTTCGATTAATACATTTCTTGAGACTAGAGTAAATTGAAATATATTTCGAATATTAACTAGGCAGGTACTAGTATAAACAAATACCGTTTCACGGTTTTAAATCCTTGCCAAAAGGTTGTTTTAAGCATAATCACGAAAAAACAATTCTTCACCTAAGTAAATTGTTTGAAGTACTTCGTCGCGACTTAAGTAAGTCTTTTTACTCACCACGTGCGCAACAGCACACACAAATAATGATGAGGATGAGAAGCAAGACAGCAATAGCGACAGCAATTGCGATGATCATTTCGGTCGTCAGAGCAGTTGTGTCATCAGCTGGCGTAGGCGTTACAGCACCTACATAACAAATACATTGTGTTAAGGATCACTGTTCCAACGCAGGCGAAACACTAGAGATTCAGTTATCGTTTGTCGTATATACAGTAACCTTCCCTTTATTTCGTTTAAGATACAACTGTAGCTCATGACGGGTAAAATCACTTCTGTGGACAAGGTAGCTTAGCTGGTTAGAGCTGATGTATAACAATCAGAGGTACAATGTTGGTATCCTTGTCTGGCTACGTTTACTCTCAGTACACTGTTGTTGATTATATTTGTTTATTTTATCTTTATTTCTTTTTCCAAAATAGTCACATAAAGGCGTGGTTTTCTATTCAGAAGCAATTATCAAAGCTATAGTCATGCCGGAAAAATAACCAGTTTGCAGTGTATAGTCAAGTTTTTGGCAGTTATTCAGAGTTTCTTAAAAAACAAACACACAAAATCCCCTCAAAGTAAATCAAAAGGAATAATATTGTTCATTTAAAGCAATCAAGACAAACTCTGATATACTAAAAATATGTTATGATTTCATCATAAATCTTCTTTAGTTTCATATGTTTTAGATATAACAAAGTAAATAGAGGTTACACAACGAGTGGTTGTTGAAAATGGTATTTATTTCACTCGAGTTAGTTAATTTTCAAAAGTTACAAAAGACACGAGCTTTAGCGAGTGTCTTTCTGTAAATTTTGAAAATCAACTAACGAGAGTGAAATAAATACCATACTAAACAACCACGAGTCGTGTGATTTGTTTCTACCACAATCTCATGATCAGTCGGAAATAACATACACACATGTGTTTGTTGACAAGGCTGGCGTAGTTATATGACCCATATGTTAAAAGTCACTCATTAATTTTCAAAAATGACTTTTTTTTTTACAAATTTAATTATTGTCAAAATTAATGTTTCGGCAACAACTTCGTGAAAAAATAAAATAGATGAACGACTTTAAATATTGAGAGTAGCAGTATTGCATTAATTTATATAAATTAACCACGGACTATATGCGCGTAAGCATATCGTACGAAGTCTGCCTCCCGCCAAGTGATGAACCGTTGTAGACGAACTTATCGCTGTCAATATCCAAAACCATTGGCCTACGTTTCTAGGCCTACGTTTCTTCGTGACGGTTCTATGGTTGACGTTTATAGTGAAAGTTCAGCCATAGTCAGACCGTCAATATAGCGATAACGGGACGTTGGGAGAACGAAATATTTCCCGACACTGTGACAGATCTTGTTTTGGTTTCACGACCTGGACACGCGACGGTGTGACGTCGAAACGATATCGAGCGTCTGTAGCAATTTTGCCTGAAACTAGCGATCAAATCTTTAAGTATCATCTTTTAATATTGCCTTAATAACCCCCCTTTCCGCATAACCTCACAAAGTCTCCAACATCTGTCGGATGTTGACAGCCGACGACGTAAACAAAACAGCAGGTGGCAAAAAGCACGTCGAAAAAGTCTTCCCGGTCAAAGTTCATCTTCTCGACCAATCAAAACTCTTGAAGGTCATATACCACGTGTTGTATATAACTCATATTTATCTAACAGTCTGCGTGTTTATACAATGATCTGAGAGTGGAATAACACAGCGTATTGTGGTAGAATCTGGGATATACCATATTTATCTTAATCCAAATACCATCTTTATATTTTATACATCTGATACATTTTGGTTATGCAAAGAGGAAAATGGTAAGGCAAATTCTTCTTTCCTGAATAGCCCACCGTAGCTTAACAACCAGGTGACGGTAAAATATGACAAAAACTGTAATGAAAATTCAGAAAAACACTTTTTGCGATGCAAAATTCGGTTTCAATAGCACCACATAAAACTTCAGAAAAATATAAAATTACTGTATACAAAATATATAAATACATGTAGTTACAAAATGATTAAGGGGAGATACGTTTTTCCCGTAACAAGGCATTATCGAAATATCCAATTACGTACTTTTCTACGTTAATAATGCTCCAATCAGATCTGTAAGAATCATACGAACCTGACTGAAGTAGGAAGTTGATGGCCGATGATTGTCCAATAGAGTTGGTTGCATAGCAGCTGTATGTGCCATAATCGCTCTGAGACATCACAGTTACAACGTGTGTGAGCCCCGTTGCACCTACAATGTCGACGTTGGACTTTTGCCACCGGTATGTTTCGACAGAGGGATTGGAGATGGTGTTACAGGTCAGGATTCTTGGGTCGTTCATACCAATGACGATGGTCTGTTCTGCAGTAGCTACCGTGCTTATTGGTTTGTCTGAAATAGACGTCAATGAATATGAGGGGGAATGTTGCCTTACTGGTAAACTAGTTATAACGCTAGGAAGCGTTCTATAATTAAGCAACTTCAAGGGTGGTCAGTGTCTGGATGTATTCTCTTGCACGTTACATATCGTAAATCACATTCTGTAAAATGTGCATTGTATTTCTCATTAATTCATGTATATTTTCAATCGTTTAGTCAGGTATTCTGTAAAAATTGTGTTAGATAAATTCAATTTCTATTCGTTTCGAGAATCTAAATTCCAGCGATTGTATGTCTTTTAAAGCATAATTGTTCACCCTTTCACCCCTATGTAACTTTAGTAGACTCCACCATGCATTGATCTGGATGAGTCAATTATGGTATACAGTGGTGAAAGAGTTGTTTAAAGTATTTGAAAAAATGGAATATTTTGAAGATTGTAAAAGATTAATGTAATAGATGCACTTTTATATAATGACGTTAACTCCAGTGCAGTTACGAACGTCGTTCATTATTGTCAGAATTTGTTTGTTTGATATGACTTGCAGTGTAAACAATTTGATAAATTAAGTGGATTCACTAAAACTTAACTGAGGAACCTGATTTTAATGTGAACGCGAAGGACAAATACCCTAATATGTTCACAAACTTCGTACAGAACTGTACAAAATACGATCAAGTGTTGAACAAAGATAATGGTTAAAACTGTATACGTCATAAAATACGAATGATCCAATCTTACACTGTACGTCGACATTGAGGGTTGCAGTTGCTGATCCCCGGCTATTGCTGGCAGTGCAGATGTATTGTCCCTGGTGACCACGATCAATGTTCTGTATCGTCAGGGTTTGCATGGTTGATATGACTTGCTGTGTGCTCTCCTTAACCCACCGGTATGTTGGAGCAGGGTTGGCCTCAGCTGTACACACCGATGAAAATTCCTGTTGTTCTCTTCTCGTAACTGAAGCGGGGTCGACTTGTATGTTTGTCGGTGCGACTAGAAGCAAAATAATTTGATTGATGGAAGTGCTATCAATTAAATACATTTGTGTATGTATGAATATGTCTCTTAATCTTGCGATGAATAACAATATCATAAATTAATTTTACCATCAATGTTTAATGGGTTTTTTCTCACTTATAAGATATTTTTTCTCCCCCTAACTTCACAGGTGCATTCCTTTTTATAGTAGGGAAAAGATAAACCTGTCTTTAACTACCTTAGCAAAGATGGTTCAAACGAGCAATGCTTTTGAAAAACGTCCCCATCTCTTTATAACCTTATGCGATGTAAATATGTAGCGTCATCAATTTTGTCACACATTCCATGTAATTCTGTTGATGTAATGCTGGTGCTGCTGTGCCTTAGGTTCACTGTTACAACATATTCGTACGATAGAAACGTGTAAAAGAAGAATAATCGATCACGCCTGTGTGATGTGGATGGATAATCCAACTCTCGGGATACGATTTTTGATGTTTATCACCCAGCAAATCTTGGCTGTAGCTGATACTTACGTGATACAATCAAATTAGTGAGCTCGCTCCTGCCAGTACTGACTGAGTTAGTGGCATGGCACCTATAGCTTCCTTCGTCTCCTGGTTCCAAGGTATTGATAGTCAAAGAAGGATCCGTCGGGGAAGATCCTTCGTACTTTGGAGAGGCTGCTGTGATGTGGTTCACTGCACCTTGGACGGTTCGTGTCCAGTACACAGTTGTCACAGCTGGAGAGGCCACGATACTACATGCCAATACCACATTGCCTCCTCGGTCGACTGTGTATGAGGACACTGGCACACTGACAGTTGGACTTGCTATTTGAGGAAAAGACAAACATTGAATCCTAAATCTTCAGTCAAAAGTAACTTCTCAAATTAGACGAAGAAATCAAATAAAAGAAAGCATCAATAGTAAACGAGATCATGACAAAATCAATAGATTTAAAAATACTTTTACAATGAAATCGTCGAATAGTTAAATGACAAAGCTTTTACTGACAACCGGAGGTATGGATATTTACTCGCATACTTTTCTCTTTAAAACATCAAGACACGTACCCTATGCTTGTTTTTGTCTATTTACAACAAATACGACACTATTTGAGGAACTCTGCCCAATTACAGACAAAACACTAGATGATTTAATTTTGTAGTTTTCATACATACAGTAGCCTCCCATGTATGGTGCAGAGTAATTCGTCTTCTATCATACTGTTACAATCGCAATCACATGTATGTGTCTTATGTTCATCTTACATACAGACAGACGTTTATTCATGTTTATTTCTATCGATTTTAAGGGTGTCCAACAACTTTTTTGAATGTCTACTGGCATTTAAAGTAATTTCTCCTGTTTTATGAATAGCTCCATATTCATATAGATAAATTTATAGGTTGCGGGACTATAAGGGAAACTTTGAGGTAAACCGGAGTTACGCTTAAAAAAGTGTAGATTAAGCTCTCAGCTTAAAGTTAAAGATTCAAGATATTCTAGAGAAACCAATATTGTTATTTTTAAACATCAATTAATCGATTAAATTTCTTGCTCATAATTCTTGTTTATAAAGCTTTTTGCTATTGAAAATGGAAATACAACTCCATGTCAGAAATATGCCGAGCAAATCGAAATTAGATATTGGAGATACATCACACAGTGCTGGGACACTCTGCCTTTAAATACGGAATAACTCACATCCTACAACGTTAAGGTAGACATTTGCACTTTCACCCGTGCCGAGAATGTTGGTGGCTTTGCACTTGTAGATTCCTTGATCCGCTAGAGCTGCCGTTGCAATGGTCAATGAGGGAGTGCTCAAAGACCCTCCGCTGTACTTCGGGGCGTTAATAACGATGGGAGTGGAGGTAGTTGAAGGAGGTTTGGTGATTGTCCATGTTACTGATTGCACGTCCGGGACGCCAGCAACATTACAAGCTATTGTTACAGGTTGACCCAGATCGATGTTGTAAGAGGTCTGTGTCACGGATGCAGTTGGGATTGCTGTAAAGAAGTAAAACAGGATGAATATTGCATTTATAATGTATCACGTCATGAATACTTTAGGACATCTTCGAAATCAAAGGGTTTCATTATCGATACAAATACACATACTAAGTAGGCCTGCAACGATATATGATGTGAAATATCTAGCTTGACATGCAACTTTAAAGTCATGCCCATTTTGGGACAAGTCTATTTCCAGTTGTTATATTGCCATTAACATTTTGCAACATATTTTTCTATTTGCATCTACTGTTACTATATGTATCGTGATACGTATCGTATCATGACCACAGTATCGTGATACGTATCATATCGTCAGATTAACGTATCGTTGCCGCCATAAAACTAAGTACACTTATCATCTCTTAACCCTATGAATTTGTTTTAACAACATTGAAGGCCCAGTACGCCACACCTTGCGGATGATACAAGAAGACACGTTTGATAATTTGATACGCATCAAAAGAATTGCGCGGCAATATAACGGGAACATTGACCGGCTTGCAGACGGATGTTGCTCCTCTTAATCCTCCAAAGGACGTGTATCAGCTTAGCGATCCGTCATTATTCATTATCTGAAACCGATCTAATAAGTTACCGCGATCCTTTATTTTTGTCGTGAATTATTCCACTGGTATAGAAAAAAATATATGCAACAAGAGCGAGGACTCTTGGATTTCAAAGACGATACATAGGCAAACGTTAGCATGTGAAAACATTGACTTCGGACACAACAAAAACAAAAGGAACATGAAATCATCTTGAACTCTTAGAAAAGGCTAGACCAGTACCCGTAATAAATGTTTCCAAAGATATAATAACCAGTCCTTTGGTTTAACGTCACGCTGAGGTTCTCTCTGCTAGTAGATTATCATTTTCCGATAGCAGCCGTAACCTTGTAGCTGGAATTCGTTTTGGCACGGTTTACATGGAGTAGAAGTTTGGGAACAAATTATTTGCCTAGCCGAAAGTTGTAAATTTGTAAGGTTATAATGTGTTTTCGAAAATATTTGTTAATCTCTTGATTTTAAGAACCACTGATGATTCTTTATACTTTTAATGTTAAGTGAAATTATCGATTGTAAGCAATACAGTAAATAACATTAATACGCAAGTCAGCGTATAGGTACTCAAACATTGGCATATCAAATTCTCTAATAATTCATGTGATTTACTCTCATCCTAAAAAACTAGGTGATATACGAATCAAATATTATCTATGGACACACTAAACTAATAATCGCTTTTTAATAGTACTAATGTGGACAGAATCAGCATAAAAACTGAACCTACCTCCAGTTACAAATAGATAGGCAGTTGTGCTTAAGCCGTCGCCAACGCTATTTGTGACAACACATTGGTAAAACGCTTGGTCAGCAGCCACGGCAGATGCAATTACTAACGCAGGGGATGCTAGTGTACCACCCGAGTACTTTGTGCTTCCAGTTAAAACAACATCGGAAGACTGGGTGTTGACAATCTTTTTCCATTTGAGGCTGGTTGCCGCTGGTGATGCCGTGTAATCACAATCGATGTTAATGTCTGTTCCCGTTACGACGGTGTATGACGGTTTACTGATCACAACAGATGGTACGTCTAGAATTGACACAGAAGTAGCAACATTAGTTTATTTTTATATGACAATCAATAAAGCTGTTTTTTCCTGTGTTTTTTTATCAACATAAACACGAATGTTCAAATAAAACTGTATTGAAGATCTTCTGCAATAAACTATCGGCCAAGTGGGTCTCAATCGCTCACCTGGTTTAACAAAATTGTTGTTGAACAAATGTTAGAAATAACAGCTCAATATATATATATGGTAATATCAATAATGTGTAGTGTAAAACTTTCAATGAGCAATAATGCACACACAAATGACCTATTTGTATTAGGATTGTAACAGGTATCCAAATAGGGTCAGTGCCAATGGGAAACCAGTTGGAAAATGTTATTGCCCGTTTCAACAATGTGAAAAGCAGAATTAAATATTGCAATATCCCAGTCATGTGCTATGTTTTCCCTCATTGGTGATGGCATTTCATCTTTGAATTTTGACCAATCAGAAGGACAAACAAAAATAAGTACTCAATGGACTTGTATGGCTATACTATTGCGAAGATGTATCATCACCTGGAACCTCTTGTTATCGAGAAGTGTTTGAAAGTTTCAACACATTTGACCCCAATGACATTGAAAGCTAATTTGTCAAGGTAGTTTCTTTAACTAACTTGCTATCCATTAATCCCAGCATATAACTGGTCCAATATAACCATCCTTGGCCTATTGGCTATTCATATGTTATCACAAAGCTAGATTTAATTACCATAAGTCTAGGCGTATTGGTTCTTCTGAAGAAGTTCTTTGGAATTTATGACACAATTAACCCACAAGAAATAGAAAGAAAATCAAGGTTATTTTTATTCGCACTTATTGTTGGACATATTTGACCCCCTGTGGACTTGAATAATGCAAACAACTGAACAATACTTGTTCAGGGCCATGAGATAAACACTTTTCCTAGTCGGATTCAAATGTAAGCAGTAGAACTTAAAAAGAATTTTAAAAAAAGGTCAGAAATCAGAGGCCATTGTTGCCATAATTGATTTCGAAAAGAGCCGAAAAAGCACAGCATTTGTTCAGGTTCATGAGACAAACATTTGCACCACATCTGATCTAAATGTGATGAGTAAAACTGGAGGCGAAGTAAAAAATGTGTCAGCCAATCAGAGGCCTTGGCGGCCATATTGGATTAGGGAACGAACCAAAAAATAACAACACTTTTTCAGGGTCATACGACTAGTATTTGAATCACAACTGATCATAATCTGAGCAGTAGAATTTGAGAAGTAGTCGAAATGTGGTAACTGGTGAAGGACGAACATTTTACTGGGCGAAGTTCTCTCGAAATAATTTATACACACCAAACCACATATAGTAATAACTTTGTCGTAAAGGACGGACATTTTACTGGGCGAAGTTCTCTCGAAATAATGTATACACACCAAACCACATATAGTACTTACCTTGTCGTAAAGGACGAACATTTTACTGGGCGAAGTTCTCTCGAAATAATTTATACACATCAAAACACATATAGTAATTACTTTGTCGTAAAGGACGGACATTTTACTGGGCGAAGTTCTCTCGAAATAATTTATACACATCAAAACACATATAGTACTTACCTTGTCGTAAAGGACGAACATTTTACTGGGCGAAGTTCTCTCGAAATAATTTATGCACATCAAATCACATATAGTAATTACCTTGTCGTAAAGGAGGAAATTTTATTGGTCATAATGTTTTCATATATTCTTTTTTGTTTCGTTAGTTTGCAAGGTACATTGAATGCGGTTTCAAACATTCTGTCACATTTGTTAAACTATATAAATAGGTTCTGGTTCATTTCCCACATTTTATGATATATATGAACAAATTGTTGAAATGTCTTACTTCCGGTAACAGTTAATGATCCTGGCGCGCTCCGCCCAGTGCCAATTTCATTTTCGGCCACACATACGTAGCTTCCTTGGTCAGTAGTAGCTAATGTGTTTATGGTCAAGGACGGGTTGGCCACTGTAGAACCCACAAACTTCGTGTTGAGGACGATTGGTGTTGTGACCCCACCAATAGTGCGTTCCCATGATACTCCAGTAGCCGTGGGATTGGCTGTCACCTTACAGATGAGTGTTACTGACGAACCAAGCACTGCAGTGACGCCGGGGTTGTCAATAAGAACAGTAGGTATACCTGTAATATCAAACGATCGTAACATAATTAAAAGAAATTGGACAAATTGTTCAATCATTTTTAGTTAAGTTAACATAAAGTATCTACCTCGTTTGTTTAAAAATAAATATGTAGCAAATCTAGCATAGAGGGATTCAGGGCGATCGTCTGAGAGAAAAATCACAAAGCCGTTTGTACATTTCTATATATCATCCTTTTGGCTGATAATGAACAACGCGATCTTGTGTTAGATTGGTCGTGAGTAAATCATTTGTATACATACAGAATGTATATCAAAATGATATCTTCTTTAATTGAAATGCTCTATTCATGAGTTTTTAACGAATAGCAAATACACATGTACAAATTACATTATAACCTCAAAAGACACGGTACCTGCAATGATCAACATCTCTCAAAATAGTTTTAAGTACAATCAGTGTTGATTGATCGCTGTAAAGTTTAGAAAAAATACACAGGAAAACTGTTTTCATTTCAAAGACCGGATGACTTCAACATTTAAATGCCATATCAATGATGCTTAAAATATTTCGTCCTTGTTTGAACTTTAAAATCAAACATACTTTAAACCACAACACAGCAAACGAACACAGTCTTGAAGTTTTTTTGAATAGAAGCAATCGTCATAAACATGAGTGTGACCTTTTCTCGACGCTTATCACATAGCTTCATAAATACTGATTTTTTTTAGGTTTTTTTCTACAATATTTAAATGAAAATTGTAAATGGAAAAAAACAATGAAAAAAAACCCACTTCTAACGTCTGTATTTGATTAATGACAATGCTGGGATTTCCAAGGGGAAAACGTCAAATTACAATGACAATAAAGGCACAGTAGACTGTTATAAGTGAGTATGTACAATAAAGGCACAGTAGAGGGTTATAAGTGAGAATGTACAATAAAGGCACAGTAGCGGGTTGTAAGTGAATATGTACAATAAAGGCACAGTAGAGGGTTATAAGTGAGTATGTACAATAAAGGCACAGTAGCGGGTTGTAAGTGAATATGTACAATAAAGTCACAGTAGAGGGTTATAGGTGAGTATGTACAATAAAGGCACAGTAGAGGGTTATAAGTGAGTATGTACAATAAAGGTACAGTAGAGGGTTATAGGTAAGTATGTACAATAAAGGCACAGTAGAGGTTTATAAGTGAGTATTTACAATAAAGGCACAGTAGAGGGTTATAAGTGAGTATGTACAATAAAGGCACAGTAGAGGGTTGTAGGTGAGTATGTACAATAAAGACACAGTAGAGGGTTATAAGTGAGTATGTACAATAAAGGCACAGTAGAGGGTAATAGGTGAGTATGTGCAATAAAGGCACAGTAGAGGGTTATAAGGAAGTATGTACAATAAAGGCACAGTAGAGGTTTATAAGTGAGTATTTACAATAAAGGCACAGTAGAGGGTTATAAATGAGTATGTACAATAAAGGCACAGTAGAGGGCTATAAGTGAGTATGTACAATAAAGGCACAGAAGAGGGTTATAAGTGAGTATGTACAATAAAGACACAGTAGAGGGTTATAGGTGAGTATGTACAATAAAGACACAGTAGAGGGTAATAGGTGAGTATGTGCAATAAAGGCACAGTAGAGGGTTATAAGTTAGTATGTACAATAAAGGCACAGTAGAGGGTAATAGGTGAGTATGTGCAATAAAGGCACAGTAGAGGGTTATAAGGAAGTATGTACAATAAAGGCACAGTAGAGGTTTATAAGTGAGTATTTACGATAAAGGCACAGTAGAGGGTTATAAGTGAGTCTGTACAATAAAGGTACAGTAGAGGGTTATAGGTGAGTATGTACAATAAAGACACAGTAGAGGGTAATAGGTGAGTATGTGCAATAAAGGCACAGTAGAGGGTTATAAGGAAGTATGTACAATAAAGGCACAGTAGAGGTTTATAAGTGAGTATTTACGATAAAGGCACAGTAGAGGGTTATAAGTGAGTATGGACAATAAAGGCACAGTAGAGGGTTGTAGGTGAGTATGTACAATAAATACACAGTAGAGGGTTATAAGTGAGTATGTACAATAAAGACACAGTAGAGGGTTATAAGAGAGTATGTACAATAAAGGCACAGTAGAGGGTTGTAGGTGAGTATGTACAGTAAAGACACAGTAGAGGGTTATAAGTGAGTATGTACAATAAAGGCACAGTAGAGGGTTATAAGTGAGTATGTACAATAAAGTAACAGTAGAGGGTTATAAGTAAGTATGTACAATAAAGGCACAGTAAAGGGTTGTAAGTGAGTATGTACAATAAAGGCACAGTAGAGGGTTGTAAGTGAGTATGTACAAAAAAGGCACAGTAGAGGGTTGTAAGAGAATATGTACAATAAAGGCACAGTAGAGGGTTATAAGTGAGTATGTACTGTTTTTGTGAAAATTGGAAACATATTCATGACAAGTATTGTCTAAATACAGAGTAAACATAAACAAAAGGTGAACTTTGAACATAAGTAGTTTTCCCCTGTGACTTGTGACTTTTAGGCCTACGTGTTGTTACATAGACATCTCCTTTATCAGTTAACAATATCTATAGAACCATGATTCAGTTATACCAAGGAGGGTGTACTCCACTTCTGGTCAAATATCAAAATCAGTTTTTTCCGTCGTTATGAATATGAGTATATATGTGTATATAATTTTTATGTAATCATTTTGAATCTGTGCATATTTGTCTTTCACTTTTAAAAAACTTGGAATGTCACGGAATCAAATTTTACCTTTAAAAGCTAATGATTCTGTGTCCATAACAAAGTGATTTCGATATTAATAAAAACAGCGACCTACCTCCTGTGACTGAGAGAACAGCCGCATTACTAGTCGCAGAACCGACAACGTTCGTGGCTGTGCACTTGTACGAGGCTTGGTCATTTGACGCCGCGTTGTTGATGGTAAGACTTGGCGTTTGGATGGTTCCACCGGCAAACTTAGTGTTGTCAATATTCAGCACAGACGTAACAGTACCGACCGTCTTGGACCATGATATACTGCTTGCGGGAGGATCAGATACTACTTTACAAACAATATCGACACTCTGTCCTGTAAGGACGGACACTGGTGTGACTGCTATAGACACAGTGGGAACAGCTGATAGGATAAAAAAAATGTACATTACAGTAGACATTCAAAGTTTTATTTTATTTTTCTGACAATAATTTTCCGCTATTTTATTGATCCCGGTTTATGCATTAATCGTTCAATCAAACCTCAAAGTTGATATCATTCGATGTCTACAGAAAAAATGGAAATTTTTCACGTAAAATTGGTTACAAGGATTATAAGTAATAAATTTCTCGCATTATATTTGTATATATAAGCCAATTATATCAAAGTTCAAAAGTGATAGCATTATATATATAGTGTGATGAACAGACATATCTCTATACACGCAACATTCTTAATCAGTTAATATTTTTTAAACTAATATTTAGGTACTGGGACCTCTCTAACCATTATATATCATATACTGACAGTCAGGTACTGGGACTTCTCTATACCATTACCACTATATAACATAGACTGACAGTCAGGTACTGGGACCTCTCTAACCATTATATATCATAGACCTACAGTCAGGTACTGGGACCTCTCTAACCATTATATATCATAGACTGACAGTCAGGTACTGGGACCCTCTCTACCCTCACCACTATATAACATAGACTGACAGTCAGGTACTGGGACCCCTCTCTACCCTCACCACTATATAACATAGCCTGACAGTCAGGTACTGGGACTTCTCTATACCCTCACCACTATATAACATAGACTGACAGTCAGGTACTGGGACTTCTCTATACCCTCACCATTATATATCATAGACTGACAGTCAGGTACTGGGACCCTCTCTACCGTCACCATTATATAACATAGACTGACAGTCAGGTACTGGGACTTCTCTATACCCTCACCACTATATATCATATACTGACAGTCAGGTACTGGGACAACTCTTTACCGTCACCAATATATAACATAGACTGAGAGTCAGGTAATGGGACAACTCTCTACCGTCACCACTATATAACATAGACTGACAGTCAGGTAATGGGACAACTCTTTACCGTCACCACTATGTAACATAGACTGACAGTCAGGTTCAGGTACTGGGACTTTGTCTACCCTTACCACTCTATATCATAGACTGATAGTCAGGGGCTTCATTCCCTCCCAACCCTCATCACTCTACATCATATACTGATAGTCAGGTACTGGGACCCTCTCTTTACACTCACCACTCTACATCATATACTGATAGTCAGGTACTGGGACCCTCTCTACCCTAATCACTCTACATCATATATTGACAGTCAGGTACTGGGACCCTCTCTTTACACTCACCACTCTAAATCATATACTGACAGTCAGGTACTGGGACCCTCTCTACCCTCACCACTCTACATCATAGACCTACATTCAGGTACTGGGACCCTCTCTACCCTCATCACTCTACATCATATACTGACAGTCAAGTACTGGGACCCTCTCTACCCTCACCACTCTACATCATATACTGACAGTCAGTCCCTGTGTCCTATCTCTCAACCCTCACCACTCTATATCATATACTGATAGTCATGTACTGGGACCCTCTCTACCCTCACCACTCTACATCATATACTGCTGTGTCCTATCTCTCAACCCTCACCACTCTATATCATATACTGACAGTCATGTACTGGGACCCTCTCTACCTTCACCACTCTACATCATATACTGATAGTCAGGTACTGGGACCCTCTCTACCCTCGCCACTCTATATCATATACTGACAGTCAGGTACTAGGACCCTCTCTACCCTCACCACTCTTTATCATAGACCTACAGTCAGGTCCTGGGACCCCTCTCTACCCTGACCACTCTATATCATAGACCTACAGTCAGGTACTGGGACACCTCTCTTCCCTCACAACTATATATCATAAACTGACAGTCAGGTACTGGGACCCTCTCTATCCTCACCAATCTATATCATATACTGATAATCAGATACGCGGGACACTTTTTGGATATCTGACTTTCAAATGAATGACATAATGACCTTATTAGGATACTGTACACATATAATTTGTTGGTATATGCCAAATGTCATTTAGATGTTATTTAAATAATTTTGACTATTGCAAAATTGATCTGAACAAGAAAATCCAGATCCAGGACCAACACCTCCTGCACAAAGCAAGTCTCTGGCTTTTTAGAGGGAAGATTTTTCCATACCCGTTTGGTGATGAAAATAGCATGTAAACCGTTATGCAACCGTGTATTGTGCATGCATGTGCATTTAAAGTATTACCTCCAGTTACGGTCAATGTTGTTCTTCCGCTTTCACCTGTACCCACGCTGTTTGTCGCAGTGCAAATATAGTCCGCCATTTCGGCGGATGTAGCAGTCACGATGGTTAGTGATGGGTTTCCTACAGTTCCACCAGTGAATGCCGCTAAACTTACATCAATGTCGCTAGAAACGGTGTTTTTGATTTTCTTCCATAACACGCTGTCGGCAGGAGGCGATGCTGCCACCACACACATTAAGGTTACCGAACTACCCGATACCGTAGAGTATGTGGCTGAGGGCACTGTCACTGTCGGGATGTCTGAAGATAGATTTAACTTCTATAAATACTACACATATTTACATCAAAATGAAGTTTAACTGACAAAATAAAAATGCATTGGAAATTAAGACAAGAAATCACAATCCTACGAAATATTATGATGATCCTTTATCTTATCGTTATTAGTTAATCTATTTACCATGTACAGTGGTAACCATTCGGCCTCATAAAGTCATCACATTTTTGTTTGATATGTCATGTTATTCACTGTGACGTCACAAGTAATAATGGATCGCGGTATTAAGTTTGCAAAGAACACAAAATAATTATTTTATTCTACAAGATCTTAATTCATTACCATTCCATTAGACTTGTTCTCTGAAACTTACTGAAAATTGCTCGTTTCATAAATTTATTTAATAAAATAAATGGAATTGACCTCGTAGAAAAATCATGTTAACAAACACATTGGCATGTAACCATGTAAACAAACACATTGGCATGTTACCATGTAAACAAACACATTGGCATGTTTCCATGTAAACAAACACTTTAACATGTAACCATGTAAACAAACACATTGACATGTAACCATGTAAACAAACACTTTAACATGTTACCATGTAAACAAACACATTGGCATGTTACCATGTCAACAAACACATTGGCATGTTACCATGTCAACAAACACATTGACATGTTACCATGTAAACAAACACATTGGCATGTTACCATGTCAACAAACACATTGGCATGTTACCATGTCAACAAACACATTGACATGTTACCATGTAAACAAACACATTGGCATGTTACCATGTCAACAAACACATTGACATGTTACCATGTAAACAAACACATTGGCATGTTACCATGTAAACAAACACATTGGCATGTTACCATGTCAACAAACACATTGACATGTTACCATGTCAACAAACACATTGACATGTTACCATGTAAACAAACACATTGGCATGTTACCATGTAAACAAACACATTGACATGTTACCATGTAAACAAACACATTGACATGTTACCATGTAAACACATTTGACCTTTGTAAATAATATGGATCATAAAATGTGAAAACAATAAATTCATTCAACATTCCGATTTGACATGAAACATTTGTATACACTGTAATAAATTGAGTACGCACCGCCTGTAACAGACAGAGATGTTTGGGTACTGGTACCGGCTCCAACGCTGTTGGTAGCGGTACACACGTACGTCGCCGCATCGACGCTCTCGGCTCCAGTGATGGTGAGCGACGGTACGGTAGGAGTCGATCCGGAGTATTTAGCAGGTGAAGTTGAGACCGTTGTTTCCGTTCCACCAGACGTACGTTTCCATGACACTGATGTGGCTGCTGGCACGCCCGACACTGTACATTCTAAAGTGATGGTGCCACCTTTGGTTACACTGTACGACGCCTGAGTTACTTGTACATTTGGTATCGCTAAAACGATCGAAAACAATACATGATATTTCATAATTGTCAGTTAGAATTAAATAGTAATACTAATTATTCCAGGTTCTTAAAAACCGCTTGACCACAACATAGTTTGTAGGTCGTCTCAAAGCGGTTCACAAATTATTATCCGTGGTTATAGGGCCTTTGCAACTACCAAATGTTTTCCTCCCTGGGGAGCATACAGCCGGTGCTGCCATTTAAGCTCACAGGTAGCATTAAAAAATTACAGCACTGCCAAATCACGTACTCATTTACAGCTGAGTAGACTGGAACAAGCAGAGTAAAGTATCTTGTTCAAAGATACAACAGAGTGCCGTGACGTGACTCGAACCCGGAGCCCTTCGGGCACGAGACTACCACTAGACTACCGTGCCCCACTTGTGTGTGTCTGCTTTAAATCAATTTTTACATGATGATATGGTTCTGTTCTTAAGATTTGTTGTATTGATATTTTCACATTCCTAATGCTGCTGCATAGAACGTTGTACCTTTGTTAAATCTTTCCCGATACGTTTTTTCCCCTATTTGATTCCATGTTAAATCTTTCCCGATACGTTTTTCCCTTATTCGATTCCATGTTAAATCTTTCCCGATACGTTTTTTCCCTTATTTGATTCCATGTTAAATCTTTCCCGATACGTTTTCCCCCCTATTTGATTCCATGTTAAATCTTTCCCGATACGTTTTTTCCACTATTTGATTCCATGTTAAATCTTTCCCGATACATCTTTTCCACTATTTGATTCCATGTTAAATTGCTTTTTCTTAAGAAAATTTTCATGGCTTCGTTTGGCATACACTTTTGTTTGAAACGTTACATCTTGTTTAGAAAGTTTTTCTTAAACTTATATATTTACGACGTAGACATTGAACCTGCCCCTTGCACGAATAAAGCACCCTGTATTCCCGCCACTATATTCGGGCTACTGGGTAAATACTTACTGCCCAGTGGTCATTCTTACAATACGACTCGTCAGAGACAGATCTGTACTCCAGATTTACTGATAGAGCCATTGATATATTGACTATATATAATGAAATTGGCTCTGGGCAGCTTAGATGGGGATTTTTTGTTTGTGTGTGTGTTTGTGTGTGTTTTTCTTCTTCTTCTTTAAGCTTACATCAAGATATGATGTAACTCCTTTCAATTTAATTAAAGAATTACTATATTACTTGCAGGAGTTGGTGTAGCCCTACTTACAAATTATATAATGATTTGCAAATATTTATACTCAACAGTTTACCTTATATGAATACCAGTAACTCATTGTCTAATACTTGATATTATTCACTGAAGATAATAGTCTAGTAAATATCTCAAATTAAATATCCCTAGCGAAAGGGTTACTATATCTCAAGAATACTGAACAAGTCTGTTTACATCAAGGAGTTACTTCCCCTTACCCAAACATCATATCAATGTACAAATATATGTCTGTGTTTCTTACCACCTGTTGTCACTTTAAGGAGAGGACTTAGATAGGCTATGCCTGATGTCTGATCCTATTGACTATTGCTTATATTGTCAATAAAATTTGTTGAAATTGAAATTGATATTGAAATTGACTTTATACAGGGCGTAAGGACACATTGCCGCCAGCATGTATTAGCAGGTTATGCTAGGAACATCATACCCGGTATGTATAACCGTAGTGATGTAATGACTATCGTGGGATTGTAACATTTAGTTATTTGAATTAATATTATTATAGCGGTCTCTATTCAGAGGTCCGGTACCTCGGTCGGTGCGGAAGTTGTGTAGTATTTATTGTATGTTTATGAGAGGGTGAATGCATTTATTGTATTGTCCTGTATTGTAGGTTTCTCGAAGCTAGAGTAAAAAAAAGAGATATACATAAACAACTTGTCCGAGTTTTGGTCTTAAAACTGAGCAACCAGGGACAAATGGTTGTCATTTGTTGACTGTTAGAATTAAAAAAAAAATATCTGTGGCTCTCTCATTGATAAAACACTATTGATCGCTACATAAAATTAGCAGTTGACGTCATTCTGAAAGGAAGCCATTTTGATTTTTTTAGGAAAATAACTGACTAGACCATTTAAATCTCTATGGTTGACCAAAAGAAACACTGCATTATCTCTAGCAACAATGACCTAATCTGGCAAAACTTCTACGTCATATATCAACATGTTAATATGTGTGTAATTTAAATGATTTAAATAGACGCAAAAATTCGACATGCTATCAATGTCTTTTGCTGTATGCAAGATTCGTTAAAATTTCATTAAAGATGACAATGTATTTCCACAAGAATTCTCAGCATCGATTTCATACCTTTCCTTTTGTTTGTTTATAATTTGTTTGTATTTGGCTATTATCCACACTTAATGAATATCAAAAATTCGAACTCTGCAACCGCTAATTACATTGTATAATTAAAACAAATATGTGCATGAGAATTTGGTTTTGTTTTATAATAATTATAAAGTACATAACGACCAAGTCTGTGTCTAACAATAACAATTACCAAACTAATATTTGATACTACACAACAGTGACCAAGAACAAAAAAACAAATAAAATGATATAGCGGCACATCTAACAAAATCGGGAAATAAGACATATCAACCGTCATAGACATATAAAATTATATATATTTTTTTTATTTTCGTTTTTTTTTTTTTTTTTTATTACGTTGATCCCTGTGTATGATGATTTTGAATCCGACAAAGTAGAGGTTGAAGATATAATTTTGATAATTAAAGACATTTCTGCTTTTCAAATTTGACTGTAATATGTAATCAACGTAATGAACACGACCTGTCCCGGTCATCACCAATAACACTTTTCTCTCTGACCAGCGAGACACTTACACCCAGTCACCGATAGCACAGTCTGACCGCTAGTGCCGGTGCCCACAACGTTAGTGGCTCGACATACATAGGTTCCTTCGTCGCTTTGGGATACCATGTTGATAACAAGGGATGGGTTGGCTGAAACTGCATCCTGGTACTTTGTGCCGTCAACGGTGATGACTGTACTGCCAGACGTCGTGGTTTTGCTCCATCGTATCAATGAAGCGGTTGGTGAGGCGGTCACGGTACAGCCCAGGGTAACTTGAGTACCGGTTACAGCAGTGTACGTGGCAGCTCCAATAACTACAGTCGGTATAGCTATGAAAGAAAGGGGGAAATCAACTTTGTTTCTTAACCGTTAGAGATATTTCAAACAAATGTATATCGATATTAAATCATAATTAGGGCTGAAAGATTTTTTTTTAAATTTCCATACCCGTATGAACGCAAGTATGACAAATACAATACTATCGTGTAATCTCAATATTATATTTCTAAAAAAGAATTCTATTGAGCATCTCTATTTTAACACAATTTTGACTGTATGACTCGCCAAATATTTTAGTCAAAGATTATTTAAAAGCCATTCAAAGTGTTATTGGAAGCGAAGGGCTAAGAGTGCCACTAATAAATATGCATAGTGCTAAATAACCAAATCACCTACCAAAACGTAGTTTAACAACCACAACTTCAATTTGATTGGTTAATAGTAGGTGTCAATAGATATTGCCTTATGTTAACAAGCATTTTGTATTAATAGATCACTGACGCAGGGATCAGTGAGGACGTTACATCTACTACCGGTATATACATATTACTCAGTGTAATACCGCAACTAGTGCTCGACTGGGTTTTTTCTCTCCAGAAAACTGAACCGCTTCAAAACATTATTATTTCTATGCTTCCAAGGAAATATAAGACATATTGATGTGCTTAGCAAAAATATCTTATACGAGTTTTATACGAATGAAGTTTTCCATTTTCAATGTTTCATGATTAAAAAGATTCCAATGTTTAAACCATCCATTGGTTACATATACTCAATTGTGCATTACGTTCTGTTATGTTTTGTAAATTCTGCTTAAGAAGGAGAAACAGCTCACGCGGGTAATTTACATATTATATGTACGTTTGTAATTCTGTTCTATATTTAGGTCCGTATATCCAGCACGTTTGGTTTTCTTTTTGCTTTGTTAAACACTTTACCTCCAGTAATGGTGACCATGACTTGATTACTCTGCGTTGTTCCAACAATATTGACAGCCACACACCGATACGTCCCAGCATCTCCATTTGCAGCATTAGCGATATTAAGGGAAGGATTGCTTACAGTGAATCGACCACTGCTTAGAGTCAATTGTGTGGTTTGTCCATTGCTAGCAACTTTCTCCCAGTACACTGACGTCACCGCCGGCACTCCGGCAGCTGAGCACTGAATTATCGCAGAACTTCCGGTGATCACCGTATACAATGTCTGAGTAACCGTTACTGTCGGTGAATCTGGTGACAATCAATAACACGTATTGATCAATTGAACAGAAAGAATCGGAGAACATGTCAACAAATAAAGTATAAACAATGAAAATATCGTAGCGCAGGGAATAAAAGAGCAGAAATATACTATATCGAACGGAAATACCAACACTTACAGAACGGAAAGGTAAGGAATACTCAGCAACAAATACCAACACTTACAGAGTGGAAATATAAGGAATACTCAGCAATAAATACCAACACTTACAGAGCGGAAATATAAGGAATATTCAGCAACAAATACCAACACTTACAGAGTGGAAATATAAGGATTACCCGGCAACAAATACCAACTCTTACAGAGCGGAAATATAAGGAATATTCAGCAACAAATACCAACACTTACAGAGTGGAAATATAAGGATTACCCAGCAACAAATACCAGCTCTTACAGAGCGGAAATATAAGGAATATTCAGCAACAAATACCAACACTTACAGAGTGGAAATATAAGGAATACCCAGCAACAAATACCAACACTTACAGAGTGGAAATATAAGGATTACCCAGCAACATAAACCAACACTTACAGAGCATATTATTTGCAGGACCTTATTATGCTAATTGTTAAAAATTACATTTACAAACAACGAATGAAAGGTGATACACTTTTTATAGAAAGTGTAAACAGATATATAGTGTACAATTATTATGTGGAAAATTATATCGCAACGTGTAAAGGGAAACAAAATACCTTTCTCCAAAAATGGAGACTCTTTTCTAACTTAATGCTACCATAGCTTATTTACCAAGTCTTGTGTATTTATCCAATATATGCACCTATAACTTGTACCTTATTCGATTGCCGCCCGATATATGTATTAACCAATTTCGAACCATTCATTCCAACTCCAGACCGTTACAGAGCGGAAACATAAGGAAAACCCAGCAAAAAATGCCAATACTTACAGAGCGGAAAGATAAGGAATATCCGACAACATAAACCAACACTTAGAGAGCGGAGAGATAAGGAAAACCCAGAAAAAAATGCCAGCACTTACAGAGCGAATAGAGAAGGAAAACCCAGCAAAAAATGCCAATACTTACAGAGCGGAAAGATAAGGAAAACCAACCAAAAAATGCCAACACTTACAGAGCGGATAGAGAAGGAAAACCCAGCAAAAATTGCCAACACTTACAGAGCGGAAAGATAAGGAAAAACCCAGCAAAATTGCCAACACTTACAGAGCGGAAAGATAAGGAAAACCCAGAAAAAAATGCCAACACTTACAGAACGGAAAGATAAGTAAAACCCAGCAAAAAATGCAAACACTTACAGAGCGGAAAGATAAGGAATATCCGACAACATAAACCAACACTTAGCGCGCGGAAAGATAAGGAAAACCCAGCAAAAAATGCCAACACTTACAGAGCGGAAAGATAAGGAATACGCAGCAACATATACCAACACTTACAGAGCGGAAAGATAAGGAAACCCAGCAAAAAATGTCAACACTTACAGAGCGGAAAAATAAGGAATATCCGACAACATAAACCAACACTTACAGAGCGAAAAGATAAGGAAAACCCAGCAAAAAATGCCAACACTTACAGAGCGGAAAGATAAGGAAAACCCAGCAAAAAATGCAAACACTTACAGAGTGGAAAGATAAGAATATCCGACAACATCAACCAAATCTTACAGAGCGGATAGATAAGGAATACTCAGCAACAAATACCAACACTTACAGAAGAGAAAGATAAAGAATACCCAGCAACAAATACCAACACTTACAGAGTGGAAAGATAAGGAATACCCAGCAACAAATGCCAACACTTAGAGAGCGAAAAAATAAGGAAAACTCAGCAACATATACGCAATAAATACCAACACTTACAGAGCGGAAAGATAAGGAAAACCCAGCAACAAATGCCAACACTTAGAGAGCGAAAAAATAAGGAAAACTCAGCAACATATACCAAAACTTACAGAGCGGAAAGATAAGGAAAACCCAGCAACAAATGCCAACACTTAGAGAGCGAAAAAATAAGGAAAACTCAGCAACATATACGCAATAAATACCAACACTTACAGAGCGGAAAGATAAGGAATACGCAGCAACATATACCAACACTTACAGAGCGGAAAGGTAAGGAATACCCAGCAACAAATGCCAACACTTACAGAGCGGAAAGATAAGGAATACCCAGCAACAAATGCCAACACTTACAGAGTGAAAATATAAGGAATACTCAGCAACAAATACCAACACTTACAGAGCGGACAGTTAAGGAATACCCAGCAACAAATACCAACACTTACAGAGCAGAAAAATAAGGAATACGCAGCAACAAATACCAACACATACAGACTGGAAATATAAGGAAAACCCAGCAACAAATACCAACACTTACAGACTGGAAATATAAGGAAAATCCAGCAACAAATACCAACACTTACAGAGCGGACAGATAAGGAATACCCAGCACCAAATACCAACACTTACAGAGCAGAAAAATGAGGAATACCCAGCAACAAATACCAACACTTACAGAGCATATTATTTGCAGGACCTTATTATGTTAATTGTTAAATATTACATTTACAAACAACGTATGAAAGGTGATACACTTTTTATAGAAAGTGTATAAAGATATATAGTGTGCAATTATAATGTGGAAAATTATATCGCAACGTGTAAAGGGAAACAAAATACATTTCTCCAAAAATGGAGACTCTTTTCTAACTTAATGATACCATAGCTTATTTACCAAGTCTTGTGTTTTTATCCAATATATGCACCTATAACCAGACCGTGACAGAGCAGAAAGATAAGGAATATCCGACAACATAAACCAACACTTGAGGGAAAGATAAGGAAAACCCAGCAAAATGCCAACACTTACAGAGCGGAAATATAAGGAAAACCCAGCTACAAAGGATAATGGTCAATTGTAGACACTTATAGAGCGGAGAGATAAGGAATACCCAGCAACAAAGACCAACACTTACAGAGCGGAAAGATAAGGAATACCCAGCAACAATCGAAAATGGTCAATTGTAGACACTTACAGAGCGGAAAGATAAGGAATACCCAGCAACAATCGAAAATGGTCAATTGTAGACACTTACAGAGCGGAAAAATAAGGAATACCCAGCAACAATCGATAATGGTCAATTCTAGACACTTACAGAGCGGAAAGATAAGGAATACTCAGCTACAAATGATAATGGTCAATTGTAGACACTTACAGAGCCGAAAGATAAGGAATACCCAGCAACAATCGATAATGGTCAATTCTAGACACTTACAGAGCGGAAAGATAAGGAATACTCAGCTACAAATGATAATGGTCAATTGTAGACACTTACAGAGCGGAAAAATAAGGAATATTCAGCAATAAATGATAATGGTCAATTGTAGACACTTACAGAGCGGAAAAATAAGGAATACTCAGCAACAAATGATAATGGTCAATTGTAAACACTTACAGAGCGGAAAAATAAGGAATACCTAGCAACAATCGATAATGGTCAATTGTAGACACTTACAGAGCGAAAAGATAAGGAATACCCAGCAACAATCGATAATGGTCAATTGTGGACACTTACAGAGCGAGCGGAGAGATAAGGAATCCCCACCAACAAATGATAATGGTCAATTGTAGACACTTACAGAGCCGAAAGATAAGGAATACCCAGCAACAATCGATAATGGTCAATTCTAGACACTTACAGAGCGGAAAGATAAGGAATACCCAGCAACAATCGATAATGGTCAATTGTGGACACTTACAGAGCGAGCGGAGAGATAAGGAATACCCACCAACAAATGATAATGGTAAATTGTAGACACTTACAGAGCGGAAAGATAAGGAATACCCAGCAACAATCGAAAATGGTCAATTGTAGACACTTACAGAGCGGAAAGATAAGGAATACCCAGCAACAATCGAAAATGGTCAATTGTAGACACTTACAGAGCGGAAAAATAAGGAATATTCAGCAATAAATGATAATGGTCAATTGTAGACACTTACAGAGCGGAAAAATAAGGAATACCCAGCAACAATCGATAATGGTCAATTCTAGACACTTACAGAGCGGAAAGATAAGGAATACTCAGCTACAAATGATAATGGTCAATTGTAGACACTTACAAAGCGGAAAAATAAGGAATACTCAGCAACAAATGATAATGGTCAATTGTAGACACTTACAAAGCGGAAAAATAAGGAATACTCAGCAACAAATGACAATGGTCAATTGTAGACACTTACAGAGCCGAAAGATAAGGAATACCCAGCAACAATCGATAATGGTCAATTGTGGACACTTACAGAGCGAGCGGAGAGATAAGGAATACCCACCAACAAATGATAATGGTAAATTGTAGACACTTACAGAGCGGAAAGATAAGGAATACCCAGCAACAATCGATAATGGTCAATTGTAGACACTTACAGAGCGAGCGGAGAGATAAGGAATACCCACCAACAAATGATAATGGTCAATTGTAGACACTTACAGAGCGGAAAGATAAGGAATCCCCAGCAACAATCGATAATGGTCAATTGTGGACACTTACAGAGCGAGCGGAGAGATAAGGAATCCCCACCAACAAATGATAATGGTCAATTGTAGACACTTTCAGAGCGGAAAGATAAGGAATACCCAGCAACAATCGAAAATGGTCAATTGTAGACACTTACAGAGCGTAGAGATAAGGAATACCCAGCTACAAATGATAATGGCCAATTGTAGACACTTACAGAGCGTAGAGATAAGGAATACCCAGCTACAAATGATAATGGTCAATTGTAGACACTTACAGAGCGTAGAGATAAGGAATACCCAGCTACAAATGATAATGGTCAATTGTAGACACTTACAGAGTGAAAAGATAAGGAAAACCAAGCTACAAATGCCAACACTAACAGAGCGGATAGATGAGGAATACCCAGCAAAAATCATAACACATCTAGAAGAGATAGTTATAGCATACACGGCAACTAATAACAACACATATTGAAAGGAAAAATACAGAACAGCAGGCAACAAATCTAGAACAAAAGTGAGGAAATACACAGCAATAAATAAAAACACATCTAGAACGGAAAAGTACGAAAAACACGGCAACAAATAACAACACATCTAGAACAGAAGGTTATGAAATACACAACACGAAATAAAAACACATCTAGAAAGGAAAAGTACGAAATACTTGGCAACAAATCACAACACATAACTCAAAGTTGTGATATGCCCTGCAGTAGATAACAGCATTTATCACTTACCTGTTGAATCTTGTTATAGTAATACAAGCAATTTTCAGACCATGAAATACAACGTTCTGTTATTGCACATGTGCAATACGGAATGCTTTATTTACCTACTAGCCGGAACTAGTTTTTATGGGAATCCCCTTGTTATGGCGAACTGAAAAATTCCCGGTATTTGCACAAAATAGCAAAGTTTATAAAATCTTTGTATCGATCTCTACCAAATACGGAAGGTATGTGATAAAAGCAAGGCCACGCACTTGTGTTTTTCTTACGACCCAGAAAGCACTCATTTATTGCGAGGACGTATATATTCGTCCGCGCAATAAACTCGGTGCTTTCTGATTCGTTAGAAAAACACAAGTGTGTGATCTTGCATATGTATACAATGACAAATGGTCGAACACAGGCAAGTAATACCACCATGTATAAAACAGAAAGCATTAAAAGACACAGCAACAAATGAAAGCATGTATGTGATAGAAAATATTGAAATGTCCAACAAAAATTATATTATTTACATAAAGCAAAATGACGTAATGTTTACCAAGAAACCTCACAACCAAAACGAGAGTGTTGGAATACAGGGTCATTGATACCAACAGCTAGACAATAAAATATCGCGAGATTTGGTGTTATATTGGTCAGTATGTTGTCCTTTCGCGTAGTCTTAAAACGAACTATTTAATAAAATATTTGTTAGTAAGTTGTCCTTTCATGTTCTCTGAAAATGCTAGATTCGATTGATATTGGGTAGGAAGTTGTCTTTTCGCGTTAGCTAACAATACGATACTTGATATACTACTGGTCTGTCATTTTTTCCTTGACGTACCTTACCAGCGCGAAAACTGATGTTATACCAGTCATGAAGTTGTCCTTTAACTTCATCTAAACAAAGATTTGTTATGATTTTGGCTTGTAAATTGTCCTTGAGATTTAGGTGATATTATTGACGTCAACACCAATATAATTTGATTTTTTACCAGTTGTGTTACTGGAAATATTGACAAATGGGAATTTGAGCAGTGACAACTAGAATACTGACAGGTTAGAAAGGGATACGTACAGTAACACTGATCTTGACCATAGAAAATTTTGAAACCTCCTTTACACGTTAACATTAACAATGTATTACTTTGTCAAATTTCAGAAAAAAATTCAGACCAACCGACCGACCGACAACAGACAGACAGACACCAACAGACAGTTCTTTGTTTATATAGGTAGACAGGTTTTAATGTATTCTATTCTGTGTGCAGAAACATTACATTTATCTTAACATATGAATAATTTACAGTGTATTAACGACGGACATTATTTGGAGGATTTGCAGTGTTTAAACGAGGGACATTATGTGGATGATTTAGTGTATAAACGAGGGACATTATACGGATGATTTACAGTGTATTAACCAGGGACATTATATGGATGATTTACAGTGTATTAACCAGGGACATTATATGGATGATTTACAGTGTATCAACCAGTGACATTATATGGATGATTTACAGTGTATTACCGAGGGACATTATATGGATGATTTACAGTGTATCAACCAGTGACATTATATGGATGATTTACAGTGTATAAACGAGGGACATTATATGGATGATTTACAGTGTATTACCGAGGGACATTATATGGATGATTTACAGTGTATTACCGAGGGACATTATATAGATGATTTACAGTGTATTACCGAGGGACATTATATAGATGATTTACAGTGTATTACCGAGGGACATTATATAGATGATTTACAGTGTATTACCGAGGGACATTATATAGATGATTTACAGTGTATTACCGAGGGACATTATATAGATGATTTACAGTGTATTACCGAGGGACATTATATAGATGATTTACAGTGTATTACCGAGGGACATTATATAGATGATTTACAGTGTATTACCGAGGGACATTATATAGATGATTTACAGTGTATTACCGAGGGACATTATATAGATGATTTACAGTGTATTACCGAGGGACATTATATAGATGATTTACAGCGTATTACCGAGGGACATTATATAGATGATTTACAGTGTATTACAGAGGGACATTATATGGATGATTTACAGTGCATAAACGAGGGGCATTATACGGATGGTTGACAGTGAATAATTTAGGGGCATTATATGAGTGGTTTTCAGTGTATCAGCGGGGACATATCGAGTGTAACAGTGCATAAACGAAGGAAATTACATGATGTTTTACGTGTATAAACGAGGACATTATATGGTTGTTTTACATGTATAAATGAAGTACACTTTATGACATTATAATGGATTTTTTCTAGTGTATAAACGAGTGACATTGCATGATTGTTTTACAGTGGATAAACGGTGGACATATGGAGGTTAACAGTGTTTAAACGAAGGACATTATAAGAGGTTCTAATGTGTAAAATGGAGGGACATTTTATTGAAGTTTTACGGTATGTAATTATTATTGAATTGTAGTTTAATGGTAGAATGGTACATTCATCCTCAACTTAGATATATTGGAAATATACACCTTGTCATCTCGAGCATTCGCATGTTCACCACGATATTTTGTTAAGCATACTCACTGCCCGAGACTGTCAGCGTTACTTGACCGCTCGTTCCTTTGCCGACAGCGTTGGTAGCCGAACAAATATAGCCTCCAGCATCATTATTGTCAGTCGTAGCTATGGTGAGCGAAGGGTTTGAAGGCGTTCCTCCAGTGTACTTAGAATTGCCTGAAGTAGTGATGGCTGTTGTGCTACCGACCTTAGTCCATTCCACTATTGTCACAACGGGATCGGCGTTTATCTGGCACTGTAAAGTGACAGAGGTCCCGATGATTGCAGTCGCAGCGGTTTGTTGTACAGTAACAGTGGGGATGGCTGTAACGTAAGTTATCATATCAATCATATTACGTGTTACAATCATTTTAATTTTATGGAAGTGATTGTTGTTAAGGCCGATACACAATCACCTCAATGCTTTCAGTTGACCATTGACATTTAGCAATTGCAGAAGTCAAATATTATTTCCCCTGAATTTGCAGGGTCAAAATACAAACACAAGATTTAAAGCTCATTATGTGGAGACGAAAACATACTCTCACAGGTTTACTGAAAGGTTTGTATTTGATTATTGAAAACAATAGAAATGTAATGTCGGACACACAGTCCTCAGCTTAAAGTTGGAATGTTCTTGTGTTCAAGTTAAGCTAATGTGTTAAGTGTAACACAATTTTGCTGTTAAGTACTATTTTACTTATAAATATCTCATCATGATGCTAAAATTTACTTAGTATAACTTGTGATAATTCCATATACCATTTCTTTTCAATATAGTAGTTTTCCTTTTAAGTGTTGGCTTAATTTAGAATATATGTGAACTATAATTGAATATGTTGTTTTAAAGTCAAACACAACATTACCGGATATTGATTTTTTAGTCATAATTTTTCAGATACATTTTTCTGGCGATTTCGATAAATGAAGGAATCGATTCAAAGACGTAAATATCGCTTGTAACAATTTGAAATATGTTGAAATTTATTATTTAATATAGTTTTGTATTCAGGCGAAACTTAAATCACGAACCTATTGGTGGTTTATCCCAAATAGATGTATAACAAATGATTGTTTTATAACTTAAGGAGTTGATTTAGAAAATTAAGACGTTCTGCTCGTGCCAGATTAGTAAACAACTTTAAAATTACAAACCTCCCGTTACTGATAAGCGTATTGTTCCACTTGTTCCTACGCCGGCAGCGTTGGTAGCTGTACACACATAGAAACCCTCGTGGGTCGTCCTGACTGCGCTTGGTATAGTGAGAGCAGGAGTCGCAGTGCTGCCTCCACTGTACGTTTGGCCGTTTATGGTTAAAGGAATTGACTGAGTGCCTTGCACACTCCGCCAGGTCACACCCGTTATCGAAGGAGTAGCTACGATGATACATGGAATAGTGATGGAACTTCCAGTTTGCACAGAATAACCGCTCAGGGGTATGGTCACAACCGGGGTACCTAAAACGACACAATGAGGCACCAGGTCTGATTTTGGGTCACTGTAGAGAGACATCAAGCTTCATATCCAAGGCACATACTGATCCTAGCTTATTACACATAATGGTTCGGTTTCATTAAAAGACATACTTAATGAATTTTACAAAAAATTCCGAACAAGTAATATAAACTCATATTTATCATTCCTGTTGGCCCTGATTTTAATGAACAAGGTTCTTGTTGTTGGAGGGAACCGGAGTACCCGTAGAAAACCCGCAAATTGGGCAGATGACCCAATACCTTTCCACATCCGAACGGATAATCGAACCCTGACCGTCTTCTTGAAAGGAGAGTGCGCTATCAACGAGGGTGCTTAGGCCTATTTGTAAATGTAACGGTCCCTTCGAACATTATGTTATGTTTCACATAATTTAAAACTTCTTTGGCTAGTCCAAATTGACTTGATGTGCATGTATTTGCATTCATATCATTACAACAATCACTTATTGGTTTTACCCTATGTGTTAGAAGACAATGAAGAATCTAAATTGATCTGCTTCTCCCATTGCAACTCTCCTGGCTTACGATTTTTCTAGGACAATAAAACAAACAAGCAAAAAAACACCAAACCGCCCCTTCCGTCCCTTCCCCAAATGAAAAAAGAAACAAACAAATAAATAAAACCAAAAAAAACAGGAAAATGATACTCACCTCCAGTGACGGACAGCGTCGTTGAATCTTGCCCGGAACCAACGCTGTTGACTGCTATACATATGTACACACCCTGATCACTACTTTGTATTCCAGTAATGGTCAAGGCAGGCGAAGTTAATGGTCCGACAGTATATTTACCACCGCTACTTGAAGTGGTAACCGTGGTGACCTGACCATTGACTGTTCGTTGCCAGCTTACTGCAGTATGAGCAGGATCAGAAGTGATGGAACATGGAATGGTGACTGGATCTCCAATTACAGCACTGTATGTTGTTAATTGAATACTCACCAACGGAACGTCTACAATGCATGCATTATGATAAGTTAGACATTATTTCATAATACACCAAGCATACATTAATTGAAAAAGCATGCAATGTGTATTGTATTTAACATACTAGCATGCCACTCTACTTAAATACTAACTTTCATGCTTAAGTCTTATATAAATGTATATACTAGTTTCTATAAATACATAGTTGGTGGTTCTTTATCCTATCATAGTATTAACGTGTCGTTACCAAACTGCCTACGAGATATTGTTTAATACTTTCTTAGATTCAGGGAGTGCGGAGCTGCTTATTACCCGTCAGTGACATGCAAACTTGAATCATCTCTAGAGAAAGGTTTTAGAAAAGGTGTGTTTTTTGTTCGGATTCATCAACAATATGCTTATACTATATAAATATTGTCGGTATTACAACATTATCTACAGGTTTGATTATACAACAATAGCTATAGATTTATGTATTTTACTTGCATTGTCACACTATTTCGAGTAACATTACCAATGACGACTGCTATTCGTACACACGAGTTGTATTTGGACTAGTCTCTCTTAATTAAATCATTTTTAATATTAATTTTAATTATAAAGACAGAAAGAGGACACCGGTTAAGTTATCGGCACTTCGAAAATACTAGATTTTAGCGTGTGAGAGAGATTAACCTTTTGTGAGAATGGATGTTAGAAAAGACTTGATAGTTTGAGAGGGGTCATGTGAACCTGTCAGAACGATATAAAATGAAGTACAACAGACGATCTGTCAGACAAACTTGTAGCTTCAAGGCGCGATCTCAAAATCATAATACAGATATATATATAACCATTTATTGTACCACGCCCTACCTTTAAAAGGGGAGATATCTGCTTGTGGTTATGTGATTGTTATATTAACTACTTCGTTTACTTATTGAAATAGCTTAATAATGTTCAAAGTATTAAGTAGTCTTGTTCACTGTCGGGGGCTATTATAGTATAATAGTGTAAAGGAGAGGCTGCAGAAATTACAATAAAAAACAATATATTAAATGTATTTTCTGTTCTTTAAAAAGTTATAGTATTTTCTTCATGAAATTATTGATGCAGAATTGTGTCTCTCACTACATTGACTTCTAACAGTATGAGAGTGTGACATAATACAGAGTTATAGCTTTTATGATGAAATATGCATGAAACAAATGAACGGCTTTCATTTCGTTTGTGAAGAAACTCCTTAATGAGTTACTCAACTCAAAATGATGACGACAGAAAACTAAGGCCTGGCATAGTATAATAAAAATACAAAGTATAAACTATATAAACATATAGTATATTCTAGTATTTCCAGATATCTCATATACCTAGATAAACACTTTATGAAATACAAAGTTAACGGCTAGAATACAAGCATACGTAAAAACAAACTGGCGGAGGACTTGTTGGCATCAACGATGTAGTCATTGTAAATAGAAGAAAGAATGAGGTAATTAATTCAAATACTTGAATATGTTTACTTAATACAACAGAGAAACAGAAGCCTTCTACTCATAATCAATCTTAGAATTGCATCTTTACTAGTAGTTGCTATCCAGAAAGAAGTCAATAAATTGCTTGAAGTGACCGTGTAAATCACGAAAAGAACCCTCTGACACTTATAATATTTCTTAGATAAGCGATCCAGAACAGGCTGTATTACTTCGTATAATTATGTTAACAGACGTTCCCGATAAACATTTGTCTCTTAATTCAAGTAAAAAATGTCTAGAAACCACATAGCATACGATTAGGGAGACAAGGCAACGAAACCAAGAGATACACTTATTGTATTTACTATTAGTATCAACAATCAAATATTATCTATTCTGCTGACATTAGGGTTGTTGGATGAAGGTTGGGGTTCATGGACGGACGGACGGACTGAAGGAGTACCTATAACTCTCCCAAACACTATCACAGTAAAGAGATTCTGCTTACTTCCACTGACAGTCAGCTGTGTCGTTCCACTAGTTCCGATCCCTACTGGATTAGTCGCTGTGCATCTGTAAGTTCCACTGTCGCTCGGTTGAGAGTTAGTAATGGCTAAGGATGGTGTGGTCGTAGATCCCCCTGTGTATCTGGTATTACCACTAATGGAAACTGTCTGATAAACGTTGTTAACAAGCTTCTCCCAGCCGACGCTGGTATGGGCTGGATTTGCGCTAACGGTACAGACAAGAGTCAGGCTACTACCGGTTGTTGCAGAATAGGTATTCTGTTGAATCACCACTGTCGGCAAACCTTTAAGATAATGTTATCGTCATTGGCATCTCAATATACACATTTACACTTAAAATGGTGTTGTTATCCTCCCAATATTTTTAATATATCTATAATTATAAGTAGATGACGAATTTTCTTTTCTTACGCGGATCAAGTTTGTGTCGGAACTATTTCCGGTTCAGGTCGTCACTTTAAGCGAGCAGGCGCTCTTTCGACAAAAATACATACCAAAATGGGAAAAACAGCTGTTCTCAGTCGTTCTCAACTTCGCTTTGAGTCTACTCATATGCACACCCAATGATAATGGGTTTATCTTGCTACCGGTAGATGATATGATAATTATGTAGATGATTATGGAAAATATATAGATTGCTTATGCTCGGAATGCGCTAATCTTCAAGCTAACTTTAATAGTTGCTATTACGCAAGTATCAGTCAAATATAACCAAACACATGTATCAAATAAACCAATAATCACACAAAACAATATCAGTCAACAATTGAACGGGATTTTCGAAAGCAATGTGTGATAAACAGACGGACGGGCGAAATGAAAATAGTGACTAAAGCTCTTCTGATCATTATATATGTATATTATATTGCTTACTTCCGCTGACAGTCAGCTGGGTCGTTCCACTAGTTCCGATCCCTACTGGATTAGTCGCAGTGCATCTGTAAGTTCCACTGTCGCTCGGTTGAGAGTTAGTAATGGCTAAGGATGGTGTGGTCGTAGATCCCCCTGTGTATCTGGTATTACCACTAATGGAAACTGTCTGATAAACGTTGTTAACAAGCTTCTCCCAGCCGACGCTGGTATGGGCTGGATTTGCGCTAACGGTACAGACAAGAGTCAGGCTGCTACCGGTTGATGCAGAATAGGTATTCTGTTGAATCACCACTGTCGGCAAACCTTAAAAATACCAAATAAGACATTAGAATTGTGTTATCGTGATAACATGCATGTTTTGCGTCTAAAATTAAATCAAAGAAATGGTCATCGAAATGTGACCCAAGACTTGAAAAAAGTGTGATCTCAATGTGACTTTGACTTTGGGTGTACAGATGCAAAAGTTGTATGTGACACACTTTTTCCCATACACCATATATCCTTAACATATTTTGAGCTATATTAAAAAAATCAGAAATTATGGCTTGGACAATGTATCTAACCTTTGACCTACACGTGACCTTGCCCTTGGGTAACCAGCCCAAATTTTAGTTTGAGGCACACACCCTCTCCATCCCCCATTTATCAAAAAAAAACACACATTTAGCTATTTTCAACTAATCAGAAGTTATCATGTCTAGGCAATAAGTTTGACCGTTTACCTCAACGAGACCTTGATCTTAGGTATACAGGCCCAATAGTGGTACCAGAAGCACAACCTTGCTATTCTTATTTATATCCCTAAAATAATTTCAGCGAGCCTGAACATCGAGTTTGATTTAGATCTAAATATAAACTACCAATACAAACCCAAACAGAAGTAATTAATTATTGTCCAGATTGCCTAACATGTGTATTTACCTGGATTTTATCTTTATTTCAAAGAAGCTGAAATTCTTTTGTGGATTTTTTCTTCTAAATTTATCAATTAAATTGGTTTTTCAATATTATCTTTAATAAGAACTAGTAGCCTGAGTTCAAAATTCATCATAGACCTGTGAAAAATGGATATTCTGTAAACCTTCGACAAATTTCATGAAGTACAAAAGTTTCGTTGATTTGCAAATTTGAAACCCTTTTGAATTAGTTAGCAACTATACAGTATTAACAAAGGATAGGTTCATATTCATGCATAGACATGATACAACTTTGTAACATAATTATTTGAAGAAGGAGGTATCCGCATAAATGTTGTTTACTGTAATGCGTCCCGTCAATTTTGATGAGAGTACAAATATAGAATACATCCAGTATTGTATCATCTGTGAAAATTGATGAAGGGGAAAATAAAAGGAAAAGTTTATTCACTGCTTTTTTATCAATAGATTCTGGTCCTCATCGTCTCAGGATCACTTTACAAATAAGAAAAAATGACCTTCAAATTTATTGATCTTGTGTTCCTTGTTATGAAGCAGAAAAATGGGTCACAATGACCCATCTTTTCATATATAAGAGCAGTACTCAAAATGTATTAACACATCATGTTTGATGTACTGAGCATACTTATGGAGCTGTTCAAGCATAGTCTTGCCAATATGGCAAACAGACAGACAGGAAAACTTAAATTGAATTTCAAGTGGCATAAATAGTCATTTTTTAAATATCCACCACACATTAAGGTATAGGGTACCAACAGCTATATTACCACTGTTGCTATTGTGAAATATTTAAATTATTTTTTCGAAACAAAAGTATATCCTATAAAATATACAAATCCAATGTTACCATGTTAAAGTTGCTCTGAAATTTAAATGCTTCAAAACAGCAGTATGAAAAAAAGATAACCAAAAATGCAGGGGTCGAAAATGGCAGTTACAGGGTCAATAAAACACAGGTACTGATCATTGAAAGACCCATAATTTTTAGATTTTGGTTTTAGTAGCAACAGAGCGAAAGGCAAAAACTTAACAATGAAAAAGCCAGTGGAAAAGTGACGTCTAGGTTTCCTTTTACGACATCAATTATTGTAGGGAGACACAATCTCTTAATAGAACTCATCTAACTGAAACTGTTTTACTGGTACCCTTTACCTTAAAACACCTCAACAAATATTTGAATATGGAGCAATTTGAAAGGGTGAGGAACATTGATTATGACAAAAAATGTGTTTTCATGGAGGAAATTGTGAAAAGGTGAGGAAAACTTCTATATATTCTATCCATCGAGCAACTTCTTATTGAACACTTTCCATGATTAATTCTAATTTTTGATAGTTAACAATAAAATATTCTGAGAGTCCTTCTCCATAAAAATTATAGTTTTGCAAAATCTTCCAAAACAAACAAAAACAAAAAGGTTTAAAATGGAAATAGTTGCTAGAGGAATATAATTATAATCTTCCATACGCATACATGTCAACATATGGACCCTCTTTTTTGAGAGAATTTTACCCTCTAAGTAAACTTCAATATATGGATGGAAGCCAGTGTAACATTTCTTCATGGTATGGTGTAAAGTTTGTTTATTAATAAAATTACTATCCTAAATCAATTTGAAAAGGTGATAACAAATGTTATCTGTAGTATCAATTTTTGCTATGAAAACTTTGCAAAAGTCTCTATGAGGCACTTTGCCACACAAGACTGAACAATCTGGTAAAAATTATGATAGGTGGATCAAACTGGGTCCTTCACATTCAATTTGATCAAATGTTAAATAGTGGGTGTTCAGAGGGACAATCCTTTTCTAAAATGGACAGTTGACATGTATGTGATATAACAGGAATGCAATCAAATATTAATTCTACATTGGCCTTACTTCCTGTGACAGTGAGTGTGGTTTGACTACTGGTTCCAGTTCCCACAGCATTTGTTGCTGAACATGTGTACACTGTGTTGTCGGTGCTATCAGCATTGGTGATGGTCAAGGATGGATTATTCACTGTGGATCCAGAGAATTTGGTTCCATCAATGGATATTGAGTTTTCGAAACCAATGTTTATACGCCGCCAGACAACAATGGTATGAGTAGGTGAGCCAGACACTGTACATACGAGTGTGACTGACTGTCCAGTGACAACTGAGTAGAATGGCTGGGCAATGGTGACCACGGGTAGACCTGAAATATCAAAAATGAATTAGGTTTAACCAGTCACTGGACACCTTCAATAAAAATCAAAGAAAAGGTCATCGAAATGTGACCAAGACTTGAAAAAAGGGTGATCTCAATGTGACCTTGACTTTGGGTTTACAGATGCAAAAGTGATATTTGACACACTTTCTTTCATACAACATATATCCTTAACATTTTAATGAGCTATATTGAGCAAATCAGAAATTATGGCTTGGACAATGAATCTGACCTTTGACCTACACATGACCTTGCTCTTTTTGTTTTATCCATTAAAATATATTTTTATGAATGACTTGTACTTCAAAGTTGCCTTTATGATTTCAATATATATATCGTGAATTGTGTAAGGTGAGAACATGTACCCGACAACAAAAGTGTTGCTAAAGTCTATCCAGTAAATAGACATAACTTTACAAGCATAACTAAAATATTAAAAAATCCAAAGTTCTCAATAAAATCCATGTAGATAAGTCTTGTAAATATGCTTAATATAAACTGCAATTACAAATTAAGAAAAAAAAATCAATATTTGAAGACAATGCAGCCATATATAGACAGAATATAATATATATTGAAAAGTAAACAATTACATAGATCAAATGTTGATGAAAATTGTTCTGTTAGACAGTAGGTATATAACTAATTATCTTGTGAACATTAAGAACCTAAAAACATTTCCACAACGATTATTTTAAGAAGATTCAATTATATGTTCTTGAATTAAATTTCTGATCTCTATCATTGTAGGATAAAATGCATCACAATTCAAAATTTTTGGGCTGTTGGAATGCATCCCTGGGGATCAAAAGAATATGAAATTTGGGTGGGACACCATATTTAAAGGGAACCAGAAAATGTGTATGATCAAAATGCTGTGACGGTGACTGTTTTGCGCATGCGAACAGAAAAGGGATCGCGTTTGTTTACATATGTGACTTGATATATCACTTGACATGTTTATACCTTTTTTAAGCAATTGGACACACGTCAGAACAAATGAATGTACTATGAGAGATTAATAATAGAAATAAGCAATATTTTAATTTAGTTGTCGATAACTATCTCCACCTGTCGATAACTGCCCCTGTCATTAATGCCACCAAAACAATGATTTCTCCCGCGAATCGTCAGATGTACGCTTATTGCAGATGATGAAATAGAGTACGTTTCCCGACTTCTCCGAAATGCCTTCATATAATAACTTACGCAAAACGGTAAACTAGAAAAACACGTTTGAAGCTTAGACTGTCGATAACAGCCTCCATTGTTCTACTAATTGTAATGGTGTACCATAGTCGCAAAGATGCATCAGAAAAAGGATCGCATTGCCATAGTACACCTACAATGTACATATGACTAAATTTGAGTGAAATCAAACAATATCTAAATTGCGACCAATCAGAAGCCTCCGTGTGGTTGCTATGGTAACGAAACTTATGCTGTTTTCTAAATTTCGACCAATAAGAAGCCTCCACGGGGTTGCTTACGGCAACGAAACGGCGGTTCAATTTGCAGTCCCCTTATACCCCTCTATAACGATTTTCATCAAAAACGGACAATATCTGAATTTCCACCAATCAGAAGTCTTCTTTTGGTTGGTATATGGTTTCTATGTCAACGAAACATATGCGGTTAAATTCGCAGTCCCCTAATATCCCTTTATACCAATTTTCATCGAAATCGAACAATATCTAAATTGCGACCAATCATAAGCCTTCGTGTGGCTGCTATGGTAACGAACATTATGCAGTTTTATTCGCAGTCCCCGAATACCCCTATATACCAATTTTCATAAAAATCGAAAATTCTAAAACTCGACCAATCAGAAGTCTCCATGTCGTTTCTATGGCAACGAAACCTATGCGGTTGAATTCGCAGTCCCCTAATATCCCTATATACCAATTTTCATCAAAATCGAACAAGTTTGAAGAAAATCGGTTAACATTTGTTATAGTTATTGCACAGAAACAAAATCCAGCAGATTATTACGTTTTTCGTTATTCAAGGGGCCATAACTCCGCTAAATGGGGTCCGCTGAAAGTGGTCATCGAACTTGGCCGAGCCCTTAAGGCATTTAACCCTGTGACCAAGTTTGAAGAAAATCAGTTAACATTTGTTTTAGTTATTTCACGGGAACGAAGCGCGGCAGATAATGACTTTTTCATTATTCAAGGGGCCATAACTCCGCCAAATGGGGTCCGCTGAAAGTGGTCATAAACCTTGGCCGAGCTCTGAAGGCATTAAACCCTGTGACCAAGTCCGAAGAAAATCGATTAATATTTGTTGTAGTTATTGCACGGAAACGGAGCCTGACAGACAGACAGACAGACAGACAGACAGACAGACCCAAATTAATATCCCAATTTTGGTGAAAGCGGGGGATAATTAACGATGACACTCGATGTTATTCAGGATAAAAACAATATTAGCTCCCACCAGCTATGTGAAACCATTGGCCTCTTGTATGTGTTTATATTCCCATAAATACTATCTTAATCCTTTTAGGTATAAAGATGGAAATATACTAGTGGTATCTGAGGAGATGTCGTTTAAAGGTTTTACAGTCTGTAACCCTTACCACCCAACTCCTCAGCTTTCTTGGGTGTGGGAGTAGGAGGTTTAGCCTTTTTTTTTAGCAGTAATTCTGATCCCCACTTATGTCGAGATTTTATGTTAAATCATTTCTTTTACAACAACATCAAAATGAGAATTAATGTTCATGCAAAACTGACTTCCTGAGACGGACAGTGTGGTACTCTGGCTATTTCCCTGTCCCACAGCGTTGGTGGCAAAACAGGTATAGGTACCACTGTCAGCAAGGTCAACATTGAGAACAGTCAGAGATGGAATATTGACTGCAGAGCCGGAGTAGTTGATACTAAACCTTGACAAAATCACATGGTTGTTTTATTGGATTACACATAATCACTGATTTGAAGTTAGGAGGAAGGGCTACTACAGGACACTTCAATCAGATTTCTTCTGAACTGATATTGGTGGACCTGCTTCCATACATGGGCTTATTACTGGATACATATGATTAATCTCACCTTAGGTAAATGTACAAATACTTTTCGCAAAAGTTAGCACATGTTCCCCTGATTCTATAGATGTATTTTGCTATTACGGTAAGTATCATTACAATGTCAAACATTTCCAACAATGAGCAATCATAATATTTCTAAACATTTTCTTCAGGTTGGTAAGTATGGATTATGAGAAGTTCTTTTTACACAACCAATAAAATTTTCTATGTGACGTTTCGATGTTTCGCTTCATTGGTAATTTGTCTGATGAAGATGAAGGTGACAGTGTACATATCGTACTAGTCATCGAAACGTCACATAGAAAATTGTATTAGTTGTGAAAAAAGAACCTCTCAAAGAGCAATCATAATATTTGTGTAAACTGAAAGAACATCAAACATTATTACTAGGATTCTGTTTATATCTGTATGCAAATTAACCTGAACATATTATACAGATAAATAATATCTGAGTAAAGTATTCCTAATTTTGTGTGAATGTCTAGAGAGCCTGTATCGCTCACTTGGATAGTTAAACAATCATAAAAAGTATTCTCATACAAAGATATTTAACTCATTCACCCCTAAAGACACATTTGAACTCTTCCAATACAAAGGTTGAAATAGTTTATTATGAAAATTTCAGGGGTGAACAAGTTAATTGCAAATAAGTTATCAGGAGTGGGACAGCATGAACCACATGTCCTTATCCTAATAGCACATGTGTATCCGAATATTCATTCTAAGTAATTGAATATATTGCTATTTGTTAGGGATCTCAACAGATTCCATGTAGTGACCAATGCACTAAGTTCCATGGAATGGCACCAAACCCAAGGACAAATTCTGATGGCCAGATTGTGCGTGTCTCCTTTAGTTCAGCAATGAAAACTAAGGGTGGTTGATGTAGTCATTGTAAATAGAAGAAAGAATGAGGTAATAATTTAAATACTTGAATGTGTTTACTTAATACAACAGAAAAACAGAAGCCTTCTACTCATAATCATTCTTAGAATTGCATCTTTACTAGTAGTTGCTATCCAGAAATAATTGCTTGAAGTGACCGTTTAGATCACGAAAAGAGCCCTCTGACACTTATAATATTTCTTAGATAAGCGATCCAGAACAGGCTGTATTACTTCGTACAATTATATTAACAGACGTTCCCGATAATCATTTGTCTCTTAATTCAAGTAAAAAATGTCTAGAAACCACATAGCATACGATTAGGGAGACAAGGCAACGAAACCAAGAGATACACTTATTATATTTACTATTAGTATCAACAATCAAATATTATCTATTCTGCTGACATTAGGGTTGGATGAAGGTTGGGGTTCATGGACGGACGGACGGACTGAAGGAGTACCTATAACTCTCCCAAACACTATCACAGTAAAGAGATTCTGCTTACTTCCACTGACAGTCAGCTGTGTCGTTCCACTAGTTCCGATCCCTACTGGATTAGTCGCTGTGCATCTGTAAGTTCCACTGTCGCTCGGTTGAGAGTTAGTAATGGCTAAGGATGGTGTGGTCGTAGATCCCCCTGTGTATCTGGTATTACCACTAATGGAAACTGTCTGATAAACGTTGTTAACAAGCTTCTCCCAGCCGACGCTGGTATGGGCTGGATTTGCGCTAACGGTACAGACAAGAGTCAGGCTGCTACCAGTTGTTGCAGAATAGGTATTCTGTTGAATCACCACTGTCGGCAAACCTTTAAGATAATGCTATCGTCATTGGCATCTCAATATACACATTTACACTTAAAATGGTGTTGTTATCCTCCCAATATTTTTAATATATCTATAATTATAAGTAGATGACGAATTTTCTTTTCTTACGCGGATCAAGTTTGTGTCGGAACTATTTCCGGTTCAGGTCGTCACTTTAAGCGAGCAGGCGCTCTTTCGACAAAAATACATACCAAAATGGGAAAAACAGCTGTTCTCAGTCGTTCTCAACTTCGCTTTGAGTCTACTCATATGCACACCCAATGATAATGGGTTTATCTTGCTACCGGTAGATGATATGATAATTATGTAGATGATTATGCAAAATATATAGATTGCTTATGCTCGGAATGTGCTAATCTTCAAGCTAACTTTGATAGTTGCTATTACGCAAGTATCAGTCAAATATAACCAAACACATGTATCAAATAAACCAATAATCACACAAAACAATATCAGTCAACAATTGAACGGGATTTTCGAAAGCAATGTGTGATAAACAGACGGACGGGCGAAATGAAAATAGTGACTAAAGCTCTTCTGATCATTATATATGTATATTATATTGCTTACTTCCGCTGACAGTCAGCTGGGTCGTTCCACTAGTTCCGATCCCTACTGGATTAGTCGCAGTGCATCTGTAAGTTCCACTGTCGCTCGGTTGAGAGTTAGTAATGGCTAAGGATGGTGTGGTCGTAGATCCCCCTGTGTATCTGGTATTACCACTAATGGAAACTGTCTGATAAACGTTGTTAACAAGCTTCTCCCAGCCGACGCTGGTATGGGCTGGATTTGCGCTAACGGTACAGACAAGAGTCAGGCTGCTACCAGTTGATGCAGAATAGGTATTCTGTTGAATCACCACTGTCGGCAAACCTTAAAAATACCAAATAAGACATTAGAATTGTGCTCTCGTGATAACATGACTGTTTATCGTCTAAAATTAGAAAATAAGGATGTTGAAAAAATCTCCTGAATCAAGAACAGATAACATTTGTCATCATGTTATCCCTAGCGTCTTGGGTACAATGTTGGTAATCTTCTCCCATGTTACACTTTTGGCTGAAGGATTTGCTACGATATTACAAGGAATGGTTAAAGCCTGCCATGAAATTAAGTGTAACTATTCAGGGCTATAGACGCAGTCGGTATACCTCCAACAAAAAACATGTTAATATACAGTTAGTTCATATCTTTTCATAAAAGAGTCCAAACTATCTTCTCAACAAAACGAATAGGTAAACACTACATTTACCTTGTTAACATTTCTAATTTTTAATGTATTTTGTTCCCTAAGTAACAATGTATCCATTGTAATTGGCAAAAAAAAGCTATCATTAATCAAGGAAAATTGCCGAGTTCATATTACGAGACGTTCTGTTTCCAAAGTCACATATATAGTACCGCATACGACCATCAATAACGGGGGCATGGATGTTTTCCTAACGCTTTTGCTAGCTCTTGCAATTCAGAACGTTTTCTTTGATGTTTCTTTACGCTTTGCTCAAGAACACTACGATCGTTCTGTATTGGTGATATGTTGAGGGATTGAGATCTCAAATGCAATATCTGAACATATTTTTTCTGATGACGCGAATGTCATGCGCTGGAAAAATAAAAAATAGTTTAAAAATAGCGCCAGCAGCATGATCTGACGTCGATCCAGATTAGTCAAAACGATTCAACAAACTTGTAGTGTCTTTGTACTGCAACAAACTTGTTGTAAAACTTTGCAACACTCAGGTATGGGTCATGACAATAGAAATGCGTATTAGTGATAACATTTTGATGGGATTTATATACTAAAAGTACTTTAAATTAGTCAAAAGATTGACAGAATTATGCATGGATACCATGGAAGACTGTTACAAATTTGCCATTACAATCATTTTGATTACTATATTCCTGGCATGAAAGATTATACAAGGAAACATAAAATCAAAGCAATGCGAGAGATAACATACTTACGTGAACTTTAAAATGAAAGGAATATGGGATTGGACTAACATAAGTTTAATGTCCCTTTGAAGTCTAAACGATTAAAGAGACGACACTAAAACCTACTTCCTACGGTTAGTGTTATCGTCGCACTATTTCCAATTCCTGCACTGTTAGTAGCATGGCATACATAGGACCCAGCATCGGCACTGTTGGCATTGACCACCGTCAGAGATGGATTGGAAGTGGTAGAACCCTGATAGTTAGTGTTGTCTATACTCAGGGTCGTCTCCGTTCCCCCAATCGGTGTAAACGTCCAGTGGACGGTTTGAGCGTTTGGATTGGCACTAGTAATGCTACACTGCAGGATGGCGTTGCTTCCAGGAACAACAGTCTTTGCTGTCTGTTGAACTGAAAGGACTGGGATAGCTGCCAAAGTGAAACATGCACAATTGAAATAAAGAAGGAGTGAGATTTAATTATCGTATATGATATATCATTTGATATCCCTAAAAACAATTAAGAGAGTATGCTTGATTTTATTTCAATCATTTTCAATTATGACATATTTCTTGTCAAGTATATAAGTGCTAGGCGAAAAACATTTTCTTACAATAGTAGCAGTGTTTAGTTTGATAATACAAGGTCGGTCATTTCTGTTAAACAAAATGTAGACAAAAGTGGGATTAAATTAAAAGGAAAACAGTGTGTATGCGTATTTACCATATACGATTGGACTAACATAAGTTTAATGTCCCTTTGAAGACGAAACGATAAAAGAGTCGACACTAAAACCTACTTCCTACGGTTAGTGTTATCGTCGCACTATTTCCAATTCCTGCACTGTTAGTAGCATGACACACATAGGACCCAGCATCGGCACTGTTGGCATTGATCACCGTCAGAGATGGATTGGAAGTGGTAGAACCCTGATAATTAGTGTTGTCTATACTCAGGGTCGTCTCCGTTCCCCCGATCGGTGTAAACGTCCAGTGGACGGTTTGAGCGTTTGGATTGGCACTCATAATGCTACACTGCAGGACGGCGTTGCTTCCAGAAACAACAGTCCGTGCTGTCTGTTGAACGAAAAGGACTGGGATAGCTGCCAATATGAAATATGCACAATTGAAATAAAGAAGGAGGGAGATTAAATTATCGTATATGATATATCATTTGATTTGCCTGAAAACAATTAAGAGAGTATACTTGATGTAGTTTCAATCAGTTTCAGTGTTAACATTATTCTTGTCAAATATATTTGTGCTGCATGAGAAATCTCTGCTAATTTCCTACCTTATGCCTATACTTTCTAACAACAACGGTAGGTTTCAGTTTGATTATATCAGCAAGCTATATTTATTTCAGAAAGAAAATATAAATGGAAGTGGAAGTGAATTAAAATGAAAACGGTTTGCAGACGTTTTTACTGTATACGCTAGGATGTACATAAGTTTATTACCCATTTACAGTTAAAAAATTAAAATGACACCGCAAAACCTACTTCCTACGGTTAGTGTTATCGTCGCACTATTTCCAATTCCTGCACTGTTAGTAGCATGACACACATAGGACCCAGCATCGGCACTGTTGGCATTGATCACCGTCAGAGATGGATTGGAAGTGGTAGAACCCTGATAGTTAGTGTTGTCTATACTCAGGGTCGTCTCCGTTCCCCCGGTCGGTGTAAATGTCCAGTGGACGGTTTGAGCGTTTGGATTGGCACTCGTAATGCTACACTGCAGGATGGCGTTGCTTCCAGGAACAACATTCCGTGCTGTCTGTTGAACTGAAAGGACTGGGATAGCTGCCAAAATGAAACATGCACAATTGAAATAAAGAAAGAGGGAGATTAAATTATCGTATATGATATATCATTTGATATCCCTAATATCAATTAAGAGAGTATGCTTGATGTTATTTCAATCATTTTCAATTTTTACATAGTTCTTGTCAAGTATATAAGTGCTAGGCGAGAAACATTTTCTAACAATAGTAGCAGTGTTTAGTTTGATAATACAAGCTCGGTCATTTCTGTGAAACAAAATGTAGACAGAAGTGGGATTAAATTAAAAGGAAAACAGTGTGTATGCGTATTTACCATATACGATTGGACTAACATAAGTTTAATGTCCCTTTGAAGACGAAACGATAAAAGAGTCGACACTAAAACCTACTTCCTACGGTTAGTGTTATCGTCGCACTATTTCCAATTCCTGCACTGTTAGTAGCATGACACACATAGGACCCAGCATCGGCACTGTTGGCATTGATCACCGTCAGAGATGGATTGGAAGTGGTAGAACCCTGATAGTTAGTGTTGTCTATACTCAGGGTCGTCTCCGTTCCCCCGGTCGGTGTAAACGTCCAGTGGACGGTTTGAGCGTTTGGATTGGCACTCATAATGCTACACTGCAGGACGGCGTTGCTTCCAGAAACAACAGTCCGTGCTGTCTGTTGAACGAAAAGGACTGGGATAGCTGCCAATATGAAATATGCACAATTGAAATAAAGAAGGAGGGAGATTAAATTATCGTATATGATATATCATTTGATTTGCCTGAAAACAATTAAGAGAGTATACTTGATGTAGTTTCAATCAGTTTCAGTGTTAACATTATTCTTGTCAAATATATTTGTGCTGCATGAGAAATCTCTGCTAATTTCCTACCTTATGCCTATACTTTCTAACAACAACGGTAGGTTTCAGTTTGATTATATCAGCAAGCTATATTTATTTCAGAAAGAAAATATAAATGGAAGTGGAAGTGAATTAAAATGAAAACGGTTTGCAGACGTTTTTACTGTATACGCTAGGATGTACATAAGTTTATTACCCATTTACAGTTAAAAAATTAAAATGACACCGCAAAACCTACTTCCTACGGTTAGTGTTATCGTCGCACTATTTCCAATTCCTGCACTGTTAGTAGCATGACACACATAGGACCCAGCATCGGCACTGTTGGCATTGATCACCGTCAGAGATGGATTGGAAGTGGTAGAACCCTGATAGTTAGTGTTGTCTATACTCAGGGTCGTCTCCGTTCCCCCGGTCGGTGTAAATGTCCAGTGGACGGTTTGAGCGTTTGGATTGGCACTCGTAATGCTACACTGCAGGATGGCGTTGCTTCCAGGAACAACATTCCGTGCTGTCTGTTGAACTGAAAGGACTGGGATAGCTGCCAAAATGAAACATGCACAATTGAAATAAAGAAAGAGGGAGATTAAATTATCGTATATGATATATCATTTGATATCCCTAATATCAATTAAGAGAGTATGCTTGATGTTATTTCAATCATTTTCAATTTTTACATAGTTCTTGTCAAGTATATAAGTGCTAGGCGAGAAACATTTTCTAACAATAGTAGCAGTGTTCAGTTTGATAACACAAGCTTGGTCATATAAGGGGAAAAAAAAGGTAGATTGAAGTGTGTATGCGTATTTACCATATACGATTGGACTATCATAAGTTTAATGTCCCTTTGAAGACAAAACGATAAAAGAGTCGACACTAAAACCTACTTCCTACGGTTAGTGTTATCGTCGCACTATTTCCAATTCCTGCACTGTTAGTAGCATGACACAATTCCTGCACTGTTAGTAGCATGACACACATAGGACCCAGCATCGGCACTGTTGGCATTGATCACCGTCAGAGATGGATTGGAAGTGGTAGAACCCTGATAGTTAGTTTGCAGACGTTTTTACTGTATATCCGTTCCCCCGAACGGTGTAAACGTCCAGTGGACGGTTTGAGCGTTTGGATTGGCACTCATAATGCTACACTGCAGGACAGCGTTGCTTCCAGAAACAACAGTCCGTGTTGTCTGTTGAACGAAAAGAACTGGGATAGCTGCCAAAATGAAGTATGCACAATTGAAATAAAGAAGGAGGAAGATTAAATTATCGTGTATGATATATCAATTGATATGCCTAATATCAATTAAGAGATAATACTTGATGTAGTTTTAATGATTTTCAGTGTTAATATTATTCTGTTCAAATATATTTGTGCTGCATGAGAAATCTCTGCTAATTTCCTACCTTATGCCTATACTTTCTAACAACAATGGTAGGTTTCAGTTTGATTATATCAGCAAGCTATATTTATTTTGTGAAAGAAAATATAAATGGAAGTGAAAGTGAATTAAAATGAAAACGGTTTGCAGACGTTTTTACTGTATACGCTAGGATGTACATAAGTTTATTACCCATTTACAGTTAAAAAATTAAAATGACACCACAAAACCTACTTCCTACGGTTAATATTATCGTCGCACTATTTCCAATTCCTGCACTGTTAGTAGCATGACACACATAGGACCCAGCATCGGCACTGTTGGCATTGACCACCGTCAGAGATGGATTGGAAGTGGTAGAACCCTGATAGTTAGTGTTGTCTATACTCAGGGTCGTCTCCGTTCCCCCGGTCGGTGTAAATGTCCAGTGGACGGTTTGAGCGTTTGGATTGGCACTCGTAATGCTACACTGCAGGATGGCGTTGCTTCCAGGAACAACATTCCGTGCTGTCTGTTGAACTGAAAGGACTGGGATAGCTGCCAAAATGAAACATGCACAATTGAAATAAAGAAAGAGGGAGATTAAATTATCGTATATGATATATCATTTGATATCCCTAATAACAATTAAGAGAGTATGCTTGATGTTATTTCAATCATTTTCAATTTTTACATAGTTCTTGTCAAGTATATAAGTGCTAGGCGAGAAAAAAATTCTAACAATAGTAGCAGTGTTCAGTTTGATAATACAAGCTCGGTCATTTCTGTGAAACAAAATGTAGACAGAAGTGGGATTAAATTAAAAGGAAAACAGTGTGTATGCGTATTTACCATATTCGATTGGACTAACATAAGATTAACGTTCCTTTGAAGACGAAACGATAAAAGAGTCGACACTAAAACCTACTTCCTACGGTTAGGGTTATCGTCGCACTATTTCCAATTCCTGCACTGTTAGTAGCATGACACACATAGGACCCAGCATCGGCACTGTTGGCATTGATCACCGTCAGAGATGGATTGGAAGTGGTAGAACCCTGATAGTTAGTGATGTCTATACTCAGGGTCGTCCCCGTTCCCCCGATCGGTGTAAACGTCCAGTGGACGGTTTGAGCGTTTGGATTGGCACTCATAATGCTACACTGCAGGACGGCGTTGCTTCCAGAAACAACAGTCCGTGCTGTCTGTTGAACGAAAAGGACTGGGATAGCTGCCAAAATGAAATATGCACAATTGAAATAAAGAAGGAGGGAGATTGAATTATCGTATATGATATATCGTTCGATATGTCTAATAACAATTAAGAGAGTATACTTGATGTAGTTTCAATCAGTTTCAGTGTTAACATTATTCCTGTCAAATATATTTGTACTGCATGAGAAATCTCTGCTAATTTCCTACCGTATGCCTATACTTTCTAACAACAATGGTTGGTTTCAGTTTGATAATATCAGCAAGCTATATTTATTTGAGAAAAAATATATAAATGGAAGTAAAAGTGAATTAAAATGAAAATGGTTTGCAGACGTTTTTACTGTATACGCTAGGATGTACATACCTACTTCCTACGGTTAGTGTTATCGTCGCACTATTTCCAATTCCTGCACTGTTAGTAGCATGACACACATAGGGCCCAGCATCGGCAATGTTGGCATTGATCACCGTCAGAGATGGATTGGAAGTGGTAGAACCCTGATAGTTAGTGTTGTCTATACTCAGGGTCGTCTCCGTTCCCCCGGTCGGTGTAAATGTCCAGTGGACGGTTTGAGCGTTTGGATTGGCACTCGTAATGCTACACTGCAGGACGGCGTTGCTTCCCAAAACAAAAGTCTGTGCTGTCTGTTGAACTGAAAGGACTGGGATAGCTGCCAAAGTGAAACACGCACAATTGAAATAAAGAAGGAGGAGGATTAAATGATCGTACATGATATATCATTTGATATCCCTAATAACAATTAAGAGAGTATGCTTGATGTTATTTCAATCATTTTCAATTTTTACATATTTCTTGTCAAGTATATAAGTGCTAGGCGAGGAACATTTTCTAACAATAGTAGCAGTGTTCAGTTTGAGAATACAAGCTTAGTCATATCAGGGAAACAAAATGTAGATGGAAGTGGGATTAAATTAAAAGGAAAACAGTGTGTATGCGTATTTACCATACACGATTGGACTAACATACGTTTAATGTCCCTTTGAAGACAAAACGATAAAAGAGTCGACACTAAAACCTACTTCCTACGGTTTGTGTTATCGTCGCACTATTTCCAATTCCTGCACTGTTAGTAGCATGACACACATAGGACCCAGCATCGGCACTGTTGGCATTGACCACCGTCAGAGATGGATTGGAAGTGGTAGAACCCTGATAGTTAGTGTTGTCTATACTCAGGGTCGTCTCCGTTCCCCCGGTCGGTGTAAACGTCCAGTAGACGGTTTGAGCGTTTGGATTGGCACTCGTAATGCTACACTGCAGGATGGCGTTGCTCCCAGAAACAACAGTCTGTGCTGTCTGTTGAACTGAAAGGACTGGGATAGCTGCCAAAATGAAATATGTACAGTTGAAATGAAAAAGAATGTAGCCTATTATCGTCGTTTCAGATATATATCCGGAATATGAGTCATTGTTTGGGATGAATAAGAAAGATTAAGTTTGTTTCTAACACAAACATGAATGGAAAGGTTATTTTGTCAAGCAAAGAGTACAAAAGACTTGTTTCCCGACTCTAAACTGATGAAAACAACTCACTGAGCCACAGTGTCCGAATCATTAACATCAGCTGTCAGAAATCATAGACATTTCGCCCAATTGTATCTAATACTGCAGGCAGTAACGGAGACAATTTTTGCTTCGTTTGTCAATGTCTATATCACTGTAGAACACGGTAGGTAGAGTCTATATCACTGTAGAACACGTTAGTCAAAGTCTATATTACTGTACGGTAGTCAGAGTCTTTATCACTGTACGGTAGTCAGAGTCTATATCACTGTAGAACACGTAAGTTGGAGTCTATATAACTGTACGATAGTCAGAGTCTATATCACTGTAGAACACGTTAGGTAGTGTCTATATCACTGAAGAACACGGTAGTCAGAGTCAATATCACTGTACGGTAGTCAGAGTCTATATCACTGTACGGTAGTCAGAGTATATATCACTGTAGAACACGTTAGACAGAGTCTATATCACTGTAGACCACGTAAGTCGGAGTCTTTATCACTCTACGGTAGTGAGAGTTTATATCACTGTACGGTAGTCGAAGTCTATATCACTGTACGGTAGTCAGAGTCTATATCACTGTACGGTAGTCAGAGTCTTTATCACTTAAGAACACTTTAGGTAGAGTCTGTATCACTGTGCGATAGTCAGAGTCTATATCACTGTACGGTAGTCAGAGTCTATATCAGTGTAAAACACTTCAGTCAGAGTCTATATCACTGTGCGATAGTCAGAGTCTATATCACTGTACGGTAGTCAGAGTCTGTATCTCTGTAGAACACGTTAGTCAAAGTCTATATTACTGTGCGTTAGTCAGAGTCTATATCACTGTAGAACACGTTAAGTAGTGTCTGTGTCACTGTAGAACACGTTAGTCAAAGTCTATATCAATGTACGGTAGTCAGAGTCTGTGTCAATGTAGAACACGTTAGTCAAAGTCTATATTACTGTGCGATAGTCAGAGTCTATATCACTTTAGAACACTTTAGGTAGAGTCTGTATCACTGTAGAACACGTTAGTCAAAGTCTATATCACTGTACGGTAGTCAGAGTCTATATCACTGTAGAACACGGTAGTCAGAATCTATATCACTGTAGAACACGGTAGTCAGAGTCTATATCTCTGTACGGTAGTCAGAGTCTATATCACTGTACGGTAGTCAGAGTCTAAATCACTATATGTTAGTCAGAGTCTATATCACTGTATGTTAGTCAGAGTCTATATAACTGAAGAACACGGTAGTCAGAGTCGATATCATTGTAGAACACGTTAGGTAGTGTCAATATCACTGTAGAACACGTTAGGTAGGGTCTATATCACTGTAGAACAATGTAGTCGGAGTCTATATCACTGTACGGTAGTCGGAGTCTATATCACTGTAGAACACGTTAGTCAAAGTCTATATCACTGTAGAACACGGTAGTCAGAGTCTATATCACTGTCGCTGTACGGTAGTCAGAGTCTGTATCACTGTAGGTAGTCAGAGTCAATAACATTGTACGGTAGTCAGAGTCAATATCACTGTAGAACACGTTAGGTAGGGTCTATATCACTAAAGAACACGGTAGTGAGAGTTTATATCACTGTACGGTAGTCGAAGTCTATATCACTGTACGGTAGTCGGAGTCTATATCACTGTAGAACACGTTAGTCAAAGTCTATATCACTGTAGAACACGGTAGTCAGAGTCTATATCACTGTACGGTAGTCAGAGTTTATATCAGTGTAAAACACTTCAGTCAGAGTCTATATCACTGTACGGTAGTCAGAGTCTATATCACTGTACGGTAGTCAGAGTCTATATCACTTAAGAACACTCTAGGTAGAGTCTGTATCACTGTAGAACACGTTAGTCAAAGTCTATATCGCTGTACGGTAGTCAGAGTCTGTATCACTGTAGAACACGCTAGGCAAAGTCTATATTACTGTGCGATAGTCAGAGTCTATATCACTGTACGGTAGTCAGAGGCTATATCACTATATGTTAGTCAGAGTCTATATCACTGTATGTTAGTCAGAGTCTATATCACTGTATGTTAGTTTAGTCAGAGTCTATATCACTGTATGTTAGTTTAGTCAGAGTCTATATCACTGTATGTTAGTCAGAGTCTATATCACTGAAGAAGTAGTCAGAGTCTTTATCACTGTACGGTAGTCAGAGTCTATATCAGTATAAAACACTTCAGTCAGTCTATATCACTGTACGGTAGTCAGAGTCTGGATCACTGTAGAACACGCTAGTCAAAGTCTATATTACTGTGCGATAGTCAGAGTCTATATCACTTTACGGTAGTCAGAGTCTATATCACTGTACGGTAGTCAGATTCTATATCACTTAAGAACACTCTAGGTAGAGTCTGTATCACTGTAGAACACGTTAGTCAAAGTCTATATCGCTGTACGGTAGTCAGAGTCTGTATCACTGTAGAACACGCTAGTCAAAGTCTATATTACCGTGCGATAGTCAGAGTCTATATCACTGTACGGTAGTCAGAGTATATATCACTGTACGGTAGTCAGAGACTATATAACTGTACGGTAGTCAGAGTCTATATCACTTAAGAACACTATAGGTAGAGTCTGTATCACTGTAGAACACGTTAGTCAAAGTCTATATCACTGTAGAACACGGTAGTCAGAGTCTATATCACTGTAGAACACGGTAGTCAGAGTCTATATCACTGTACGGTAGTCAGAGTCAATATCACTGTAGAACACGTTAGGTAGGGTCTATATCACTGAATAACACGGTAGTCAGAGTTTATATCACTGTACGGTAGTCAGAGTCTATATCAGTGTAAAACACTTCAGTCAGAATGTATATCACTGTACGGTAGTCAGAGTCTATATCAGTATAAAACACTTCAGTCAGTCTATATCACTGTACGGTAGTCAGAGTCTATATCACTGTAGAACACGGTAGTCAGAGTCTATATCACTGTAGAACACGGTGGTCAGAGTCTATATCACTGTAGACCACGTTAGTCAAAGTCTATATTACTGTACGGTAGTCAGAGTCTATATCACTGTAGAACACGTTAGGTAGAGTCTATATCACTGTAGAACACGGTAGTCAGAGTCTATATCACTGTAGAACTCGTTAGTCAGAGTCTATATCACTGTAGAACACGGTAGTCAGAGTCTATATCACTGTACGATAATCATGGTCTATATCACTGTACGGTAGTCAGAGTCTATATCACTGTATGTTAGTCAGAGTCTATATCACTGTATGTTAGTCAGAGTCTATATCAATGTAGAACACGGAAGTCAGAGTCTTTATCACTGTAGAACACGTAAGGTAGTGTCTATATCACTGTAGAACACGCAAGGTAGAGTCTATATCACTGTATGTTAGTCAGAGTCTATATCAATGTAGAACACGGTAGTCAGAGTCTTTATCACTGTAGAACACGTAAGGTAGTGTCTATATCACTGTAGAACACGTAAGGTAGAGTCTATATCACTGTATGTTAGTCAGAGTCTATATCACTGTAGAACACGGTAGTCAGAGTCTATATCACTGTAGAACACGTAAGGTAGTGTCAATATCACTGTAGAACACGTTAGGTAGGGTATATATCACTGAAGAACACGGTAGTCAGAGTTTATATCACTGTACGGTAGTCGGAGTCTATATCACTGTACGGTAGTCAGAGTCTATATCACTGTAGAACACGGTAGTCTGAGTATATATCACTGTTCGGTAGTCGGAGTCTATATCACTGTACGGTAGTCAGAGTCAATATCACTGTAGAACACGTTAGGTAGGGTCTATATCACTGAAGAACACGATAGTCAGAGTTTATATCACTGTCAATAGTCGGAGTCTATATCACTGTATGTTAGTCAGAGTCTATATCACTGTATGTTAGTCAGAGTCTATATCAGAGTACGGTAGTCGGAGTCTATATCACTGTATGTTAGTCAGAGGCTATATCACTGTATGTTAGTCAGAGTCTATATCACTGTATGTTAGTTGGAGTCTATATCACTGTATGTTAGTCAGAGTCTATATCACTGTATGTTAGT